GTTTCTAGAGGTCACTGGCTCTCTTTGGCCTGCAGGTCCTTCCAGTCTTCCAAGCCAGCTTCCAGGTAGTCTCAAGCACACACCCCTGTCTTTAGACGGCTCTTGAGGAGAGCAGGAACTGCAGGGACTGGGATGGCTCTTTTTCCTTGACACTTGCCTGGGTTTTATTCAGCCTTACCACTGACCTTAAGTGCTGCTATCATTTATGTGCATTACTGCACTTGATCTTCTCAGCAACCAGGTGGGACAAATATTACGATACCTGGCAGGTGGAGCAACCTAGGCACAGGGAAATTAAATCACTGGCCCCAGGTCACACAGCTGGCAAGTGGTACAGATGGGGTTCAAACCAGCAGGCCAGCTTAGTTCTAGTACCACATACTTAAGTAGTAGGCTATATGCCATCCTTCACTCAGTTCATAGAGTCCCAAATATTTAGCAAGTTATAGGGTTTTCTGCTTAAGGAAAGTCTCCAGGTCCCTGAGAAAGCATCCCACCACCACAAGAACAGGTCCTAGGTGTTACCAGGAGTTGTAGGGCACACTGCGTCCACACGCAGCCCCCTCCCCCAGGTACTCCACTTGTACACCCTGACCCTGCAAGAGTGTGGAGCAAGACCCCAGGCCCCTCTGGCCAGCAGGAGGAACGGGCGGGCTGGCTCTGGAGGAGCAGCGTCTTTCTCAGAGTCYGCGATGGGAGCTGGGCTCCCCTCCAACCTGAGATCACATGTCAGGCTAAAGGCAGCAGCCTGCACAATCAGGGGTCAAGGACATACCATGGCAGCATCAAATGAAGGTCAAATGCCTGTCCTCAGGCTGGAGGGGTCCAAAGCCAGCTTCTAGGGCTCCTTAAAGACCCCGTCTGAGTTCTTGCCATGAGCATGCATATATATTATTTTTTATAGCTCCCTAAAAAAAAAAAAAAGACAGTTTCCACTTGAGGAAGAGAACAGAGAGGAGCAAAAGGTATGAGGGACCTTGAGGCCAACTGCCACTGCAGGTGGTGGTGCCTGTGTAGGTTGGAAGGACTCACCAAGAGCTTCTCTACCTGCCCCTGGAGGGGGGGAGGGGGCCAGGGCCAGGGTGGTTCTGCCACTCCTGGGAACACAGTGCGGTGGATAAGCACAGGCTCTGCTTGGCATGGTGCCCAGATCTCTTTCGTGGCTGTTTTTGTCACCGTTTGGTCTCTAAACTGAGCCAAGGGCTTGGATCCATCTGGTCRGGCTCACCCAGCTCACGAGGAGCCAGTGGGACTCGGCTCATTCCCGCTCCAGGTCCCAGGGAGAGGGGGAGGAGGCGGGTGCCCAGGGCAGCATCAGCTCCGGGACTGTAGCCTCTGAGCACTCAGGTAGTAAGGACTGAGTGCATCAGCCAGCCGCAGGGACGGCAGGGACGCAATGCAATGTCCCACCCACTGTCTAGCCCACAGGTTCGCATGTCACTGGWGCTCGGCTGACCTTGGCTGCAAGCTTCGACTGCAAACAAATTTTGCCTACATGTTTTCCATTCTCTTGGATCCAGAGCCTCCTGCAGCAGTCTTCTCGTAGCCCACCGCCACAGGGCCGGGACCCCTCTGAACCWCAGGATGCTCAGTGGCCTCTGCACATAGAGCATGTGTCTGCACTCTGCGGCCAATCTGTGTGGCCCTGGAGATGCTCATGACCAGCCGCACTCCCGCTGATCCCTGCCCCACCTCCTTCTTTTCAAGAGGACATCTGCACTTGACCTTCCCCACCCCTGAGCCACCCACCAGAACCAAGGGAACTGGGACCAGGTTCTGACCCAGTGTCTTGCTTTGTTCTGGAGGCTGGCTGGGCTGGGAGGCCTCATGGCCCCAGGTACAGCAAGAGCAAAAGGGGCATTGTCAACAGAGAGATGTGTGGGTGTCTCAGAGCCAAGGACTGAGCAGCGGCAGGGATCTGGAAGGGACAGGAAGCAGGAGCCAAAGAGCCATTGTGAAGCCTGGAAGGATTCTTCCTTCCCTTCTGATCACTGCTTCTCTGAGCGCCTCGGCCTCATTCTGCTCTCTGGCAGACCCAGCATCTCCGCTTTCACATGATAAAAAAAAAAACAACCACCATCCAAGTAAGCCAGGAGCACCTTCCWGTGTTAGGAAATAAGGCAGTGTTCAAACTCGATGAGGAACATAAAAGGGACAGAAGAACCAATCTGAAGGGGATCCCACGGGACATATTTGGGACAAAAAATATGGAAAATGAAGGACAATAAAACCCATACCCACCAGGCAAGATGGSGCACACCTGTAATCCCACCTACTCCAGAGGCTGAGGCAGGAGGATCACAAGTTTGAGGCCAGCCTGGGCAACTTAGACCCTGTCTCAAAATAAAATATAGAAAGGGCTAGGGTGTAGCTCAGTGGTGGGGCACTTGCCTGGCATCATGCATGAGACCCAAGGTCCAAGCCCCAGGAACAAAAGAAAAAGAAGAGGCCATACCTGGCTACACCTGAGAAGCCACTTCCCATGGTAGTGCCCACGAACTACATTCAGTAACACTAATAATAATAATGATGATGATAATAAAGMTCATAATTTTTAAAATTTCAGGTACCRAGGAGGAACTCTTCTATTGAAGATAAGAAGTTATAGAATAAATAACAACAAAATCACTTTTTCCTTTTTATGGTACTGGGGATTGAACTCAGGGTGCTCAAACACAGAGTCACATTCTAACCCTTTTTTTGCTTTTTTTTAGTTTTAGGTGGACACAATGTCTTTATTTTATATTTTTGCTGAGGATCGAACCTAGTACCTTATGCATACTAGGCGAGCGCTCTACCACTGAGCCACAACCCCAGCCCCACTTTTTTGCATTTTATTTAGAGACAGGGTCTCACTGAGTTGTTTAGGGCCTTGCTGAGTTGCTGAGGCTGGCTTTGAACTTGTGATCCTCCTGCCTCAGCCTTCCAAGACACTGGGATTACAGGTGTGTGCCACCATACCCTAAAATCACCTTTTGGTGCCTGTCATAGCAATACTAATTTAGGTAAGAATAAAAGATACTAAAAACATTGGGCCAAAGATTCTTAGGGAACAGTAAATGCTGAAATCTAAAACATACCTTAACCAACTTAATAAACTCAACCCCACAAAGAGCAAGACAACTGACCCCAGGTAGTTAGCCCTCCTGCCAAATATAAGTAAAGAAACAGCATAACCTGAGTGTAGTCAGCAAAGAACTCAAACGGAGGGACATTCTGCCAAACATCCATGTCATGAAAGACAAAGGAAGGCTGGAAAGTGATCCAGACCAGACTGGACAGACCATCCTGGATCCAGCTCCAGGGTTCAAGCAAAGCTGGTTATAAAGGACACTTTGCTGAGTCTTAGAAGATGGACTAAACCTGAGGTGACAGCATTGTATCAGGGTCCCACTGCCTGCAGAGTGTGCAGCATGGGATGATTTTTCTGGGGTTACGTAGAACACTCTTGCTCTTAGGAGGCCCCGCTGCCGTCTGTAAAGTGCTGTGAGGTCTATAACAAACTCACCAATAGCTTAACACCAACGTTTGGTGTGTACATAGAGATAGATAAAGCAATGTGGATAAAGTGTCCACAGCTAGTTAATTTAGATGAAGAGTGAGTGTCCATTGTACTATTTTTTTAATACCATTCCAAGGGTTTGAGAATTGAAAATAAAAAATAAAGGTGGGAGAATGGCCACCACCAGTGGCTCTGGAGTTGGCATCTCCTGGGTTGCAGGAAGAGCCAGGGAGATGATCAGCACTCCACTTCTAGACCCTGTGAAGGTGTTCTTTGATCAGGTGCAGGCAGGGAGCCCATGTGCTCAGCTCTGGCAGAGGAGCAGGGTCAGGATGGTGCCCGACCAGTGTGAATGTGCAGGGGAGAAGGGAAACGTTCTGTGCCCTGGGGGGGCATATCCAGAGAGCTATCCCAGTGAGCCAACTGTGGAGACCCTCACCYGGGCACTCTCCAACCTCCGCAAGACAGTTTCCAGGGTCAGCTGTCCTGAGGCCCAAACCTGACTTCACTTCGGGCCTCCCACAGCTGTGAGAGCAGCCAGAGTCCAAGGATCCCAATACTTTTTCTCTAGTTTGCCCCTGTTGGGGGGACTACCATATATTGAGCACCTACTAAGTGATTCTCAATACCTCCTGAGGTGCGGATGGTTTTCCCCACTTTAAAATGAAGAAGTCAAGCGTTTGTTCATTGAAGATCTTGATGCCTATGCGGAGAGGACTCCTGAGGTCTGCCCACACCCAAGTGCCACACTCTCACATCCTCACATCTCTGTCTTCACGCCAAGCAGCCACGTGGGGAGAAGTCTCGGAGCCACACAGAAAGCCTCCTCCTACGGCTCTGCCTCACCCGAGAACTCCAGAGCAGACAGCTCCAGGGGCTTCTGTCCCCGCCAGGGCCAGCTTTTGTCCCACCCTAGAGCAGGTGCACTCCCTAGGTGGTCCTGGGAACACTGATTCCAACCCAGCTCCGGTGACAGCTGGTCCCGGGGGGCCGCGGAGAGTCCTGCTGCCTCTCCGGGTCAGTTGCAGGGTCCTCCTGAAGACTGGGAGGATGCACGCACACGAAGTTTAAGCGTCATGCAAAGTTTTAATCTCTGAAAAACCTAAGGAGAAAAAGAAACGAAGACACTTGTAGAGAGTGAATCGCTACAGAACGGCCCTTCCTCCCGCCGAGGGCGCCCGTTTGCCCCGTGCCAACCCAACCGCGGGGAAGCAGAACCGCTGGGGCGCCTCCCGGCGGCTCGGAAGGGTGCGGGTGGGTGGAAAGAGGAAAAGTGAATCAGCAGCGGGCGGGGCCGGGCAGGGTGCGATCCCGGGGCGGAGCCAGCAGAGTCGGTGATCCAGGAGAGGCGAGGAGCCGAGTGACAAGGGGGCGGGGCGGGCGGGACGACAGACTCTGGCAGTCAGGAGAGGGGTGGTCCCTGCAGCTCAGGGCCAGGGCGGGGCCTGGGCGGGGCGGCACTGGGCGGGGGCGGGCGGACTGGAAGGCGGAAGGAGGGTGCGCCGCTGGMTGCAGAGGGTGGAGCCCCGGCTTTCCAGCTGCGATCCCGCCGGCGCCATGGAGGACGCGCTGCTGTGGTTCTGCAACTGGAGCACCCTGGGCGTGTGCGCCGGGCTCAAGCTGCCGCARATCTACGCGCAGCTGGCGGCGCGCAGCGCGCGGGGCATCAGCCTCCCGAGTTTACTTCTGGAGCTGGCCGGGTAAGGCCCGAGACGGCCTGGCCGCAGCTGGGAGCCCGGAGAGCCGGGCTAGCAAGTACACTGGGCAGCTGAGGGTTGTCGGGCGCTTTGGGGCTGGGGCCACTTCCCGGGGCCGCTCTCACCCTCCTCGGTGCCCTCCTCCAAGCCAGGTGAGGTAGGAACTGACTGCTCACGCCCATTTTACACGTGGGAAAGTTGACATCCAGCGGGATCAGCGCTTGGTCCTGTAGTGACAAAACCCACCGCTGTGAGCAAAGCCATTTGCGCCTTGAGCCCTTCATCGTCCYTAAACTTACTCTGCACCGTCGGTGTCTTTTCTGGTCTCGATTCCCTGTCCTCTACGACGAGAGCTTGGACCAAGGTAGAAGGTCCATATTTGGGGAATCAGACCATGGAGATGTCTTTGAAGCTAGAGGAGGAAGGGAACGTGGGTTGGCGCTTGAAAGATGGGCGGGTATCCGACCGGTAGTTCAAGACGAACGTGTGGAGCAGAGTTGTGCAACTTCTGTTTGGGAAAACACGCCCCTGAAACGCGAGGTCTCGACCCTMGTCCCGGCTGGACTCCCGCTCCCCTTCCTCCTGGCCCCGTCCCCACGGTCACACAGCACCTCCGAGGGCTGGTCCTGCACGCACCCTGCGGGGGGCCGGTCGGTGCGCGAGCATTCGGTGTGGGGCACCGATGGGGTTCCCACCAATGGAGGAAACCTTTCCCGAGAAGCTGGGCTGACCCGAGGGCTTGTGACCCCCTCACGGGCTTGTGAATAACCTTACGCTGGGTGCCTCCCACCCCGGCTGGACAAATCTGGAGAGAGCGCGTGGGGCCCGGAGTGTGGGAGGCAGCCTGCATTTCAGGTATGGAGGGGGAGGAGCTGGCAGAATGAGGGATAGGGCACAGTACAAGGGCYAGAAGTGGCCCCACTGACTGACAGTGCGGGATGGGGAATGAGGGCGTGGAAAGCCAGGAGTGGGATTTGGCTCCATCCCTTGCTAAGAYACGGTGGCTGCCCGCGTGCAGGACTGGATGAAAACTGATGCCTACAGAGTCCCAAYCCGCACACCTGCTCAGCCCGCATTCCTGCTAGTGCTGCACGCTTGGGAAACGCTAATCGACTTGGGGGACAAAGAGGGGTGGGCCTGTCTTAAATCCGGTGTCAGCTAACGCCTCATCCCACGGCTTACCTAGCTCAAACCCGCCCTGGCAAGGTGGTCTCTCCTGGGCCAGACAGCCCAAAAGTTGGGTGTGGGGTGGCGCCTTCAAGCTTATTGTCTTGCTGTTGATCACCGTGCAGATAGAGGAGGCTCTTCAGTTGGCTGGCCGCCAGCCTGCATATCTGCCTCCAGGGCAGTGCCAGGGCCCAGCCCCCAAACGTTTGTATTTGAGCTGGCTGTGATAAAGCCCACCTCCGATGTCACCTCCCTTCCWAGGCCTGATGAAGTGATTAGGCTCCACCCTGGATTCCAGTAGCTTTCTCTGCCTCCCTCCCMAGCAACTGTTCTTCAGGACTTGGGGCTCAGAGCACTTTCTGCAAGCCCTCTCCTGGCACCTTGGGTTTTGCCTTACTTAATCCGCACAATTGCTTCAGGAAGTACGGATTGTTTTTATCCCCAGACAATAGAACAATAGGAGTTGGCCGGGCAGCTCCACAGGAACTTGCCCTGTGCATCCTGGCTGCTCCCCCGACCCTTTCCCCTCTCTTCTTTCCCCCTCCTTCCCTGGGGAGGTGGTCAGGACCAAGCAGAGACACTGCAGGCCTGAACCCTGTTGGGCCATGCCCAGCTTTCTGGACCTGACCAGGGGGCTAACAAAGTGAGAGCAGGAGGGTCTACCACCATCAGACAGCTTAGAGGCAGGACAGTCTCTGGYAAGGACATGGACCCTCTTTGGACCCCCTTCTGAGCAAACAAACTATAAAACATTTTTTGAGATACGYGTGTCCACTGGAGCATGAGCCAGAGGGACCTGGGGAGACCCAGATCAGTCAGATCACTCTGATCGCTCAGGGAGGGGAGCCACTTGTGCGGGGTCTTCAGGAGGGCCAGGAGAGAGCGTGTGTGGACCCAGGGTTTCTCCCGGCTGGGGCCTTCTGGAACTGAAGCTCAGGCAGAAACAGAAACAGTGAGACTAGAAGATGTGTTCAGACCAAAGAAGGAAGATGAAGACATCTTCACCCCTTTTAAAGTATTCTCTGGGCCTGTCCGACAGACCAGGAGCCAGGCCTTGGAGCATCTCCGTTTACAGATGGGGACACCAGGCTCTGAGTGGMGTGAGGAAGTGTGCCCAGGGATCTAGCTCAGGGTAGTTCTGAACCCCTCTGTCCCTCTTAGGGCTCCACATTCTCATCCCAAGGCCGCCGAGTGAACACCTACCGMGGGAGGGAGCCCAGGAGGTCTCAGGAAGGGGCTTGGGAGCTGGCTGGGGCTTCACACCCACRGACAGGCTCGCTGCTGATAGCGGTTATCAGTTTTACCCAGGGGTGGCCTCTGGGGAAGATTCTTTTGGAAAAAAACTGGTTCAAATACAGACTCTGCCCCCTTCTCTTGGGCTACTTGCTTTGTGTATTTTTTTGTTGAAACCTCCAGCCTGGGTGTGGTAGCAGAAAACTCAAATATGACTCCTCAGAGCAGACGAGGGATCTAAACAGGACAGTGGCTGGGTGCCAGATGATGTCTGGCTTGRCTTTATTGTAATGAACATTTTAACTATTACTTTTTAATTTGAAAAAATTAATAATTTAAAAATAAATAAAAAACACTGCTGCACCCTCCCAGGCCACAGGAGAGGTGGGAAATTTGAGCCCCCTCTGAAAGCAGATGGCACCAGAGGACCAGCCTGGGAGTAGAGGACCAAGCTTGGGGCTGCAGGCAGCACCCTGGCTGGCACGAGGAAATCCAAGCTTTTCATCTTGTCCTTGAGTTCCTATAGGCCTGGGCTTCTTTGGGCCTCAGTTTCCCCAAGTGGTCTGTAAGGTATGGGGACCMGTGTGGAGGTTCCTGAAGGTGTGCACACTCTGACCTGGCAGGAGCCTGTTCTGCAGGTCTCTGGCTGTGTTCCAGGAGGTTTGCACTGTGACAGAGACCCAGGTCCTGGCATTCAGCTCAGCAGCAGCCTCCCCTCCCCCAGGGCCCTGGGGGCAGAGTGGGAGGAGAGTYTGGGAACAGCCCCCACGTACACCTGTTCCTCCTTGAAGCTAAGTCAACTGCAAAGCAACCCCACCCAGACCCTGCAGGCAGCCAGGCTTTGGGGACCCTGCTAGTCCTGTAGAGGCTGACCCCTGAGGGTCTGGCCTCCCAATCTGTGACCACCTGCAGCTAAGCCTAGATACTGTCAGGAACAGGAGCCCAGGCCCAGGCCCCAGCCACCATATGCTTTGCTAACAAGGGTTTTCTGCTGCCCCTACCAGTTTAGGAAGGACCTGTGGAAAGACCAGCCCCTCCTGAGGGCCCCTTCCTTCCTGTCCCTGGGGAGCAATGGACGTGAGAGATACAGCTGGGCAGGGGACAGCGCCTGAGAGAACAGCAGGGGATTCTGGCTGAGGGAAGAGGCTGGGCTAGGCCCTGTGTGAGCCAGAGGGCAGGACTGCTCCAGGCTGCACTCTCAACAAGGCCAGGATCCTGGGGTCTCCAGCCCCTTACCCCCAACCTCTTACCCAGCTAGGCGGCTCCTAGTGGCCTGGAGGGTGTTCCTCCTTCCTCTCCCCCAGGCTGTGGGAGGCACCTCAGGGGACAGGTAGCATCCTTCCCCTTTAGAGCAGCCCTACCTCCCCCAGCCTGCCATTAAGCCCCCTCAGGCCCCACCCACCATCCAGGGATGTCCCTGCCCCTCTGGGATCCTTTCTACCTAAGCCACCTCTTAGGGTGACAGCAGTGAGTGCCACCTTGGGAGTGGCGTCTCCAGGGGGCTCCCGAGAGCCCAGCGTTGCAGACTGGCGGATCTGGGTCCAGAAGCTGCACCCTTGTGATCCTGGTCAGCGCTTCACCCTCCGTGGAACCTTCTTGGTGAACAGCCATCTTCAAGGACCCCATAACCATGGTTTGTGTTGCACTCTCGCCCAGCACCCAGCCAGTTCTGGGTGCCCCAGGTCTTGCAGGTYTCATCCACCCTATTCCAACTTCTGTTCCGTGGCACCTGGGTTCCAAGCCATCAGCTCTTAGCAACAAACACACCTGCGTTTGGGGCCTGGCTGGGGGCAGGGTGGTCCGGGAACGTTTGTGCCCCCTCTTTGCAGGTTCCTGGTCTTCCTGCGCTACCAGTGTTACTACGGGAACCCGCTGCTCACCTACCTGGAGTACCCCATTCTCATCGCTCAAGGTAAGGCCCTTGGCCCCCACTCCGGCCACCTCCGAGACCCTCCTCCTCTCACGCAGAGCCTTTCCTTCCAGATGCCGCCCTCCTGCTCTGTGTCTTTCATTTTAACGGAAACATGAAGCAGGCTGCGCCCTACATGGCTGTGTATCCTTTCAGCATCTGAGTGAGAAGGTTGGAGGGGGTGTGGCTCAGGGATGCAGCACTTGCCTTGTAGTGCCAGGCCCTGGGGTCCGTCCCCAGCTCCCGGTTGGGGAAAAAAGAAAGAAAGAAATGGGGTCTGGGGTACTGGCTAACAGCAACGCATTTTGAAGCAGGTCAGGTACCAGCTGTATGGTTTGGGGTTAAACTAAAATGTCTGTGTCCTCAGACCCTYGCACAGGCCCTGCCCGTGGCCTCCCCGGGACAGGGCGCCTGGGTGTGCTGTGCATCACCTGGTGGGTAGGCTCAGCGCCTCCCTGCAGACTATAGAATCAGCCCTGCCAAGAGTAGCATCTCCTATCTTATTTGTTTATCTGAGACTTTTCTTCCTTGCCCGAAACATTCTGCCAGATTATTAAGTAATGGCCATGAGAGCACCTGGCATCCAACTCCCTGCCCCTGACACACCCCGTGGACCTCCTGGCCTGCGGGCCACAGGGTGTGGGCCTGTGATGGCTGACTCACGTGCCAGTCACTCTGGGTCAAGGCAGGGCATGTCATGGTGGGAGCCTGGCCGCTCTCACCTGGGTGAGGGCGAGGCCTGGGTTCAGCCGTTTGTGAGGACTGGCTGTCACTCTTGTTCAACTCCACACCCCTGGAAGGGCTGGGGGAGCCTTCGCTGGAGGGGCCCGCTCACTAATCCTCCGCACCCTTTTCCTGCAGGGCTCCACGCCCTTTTCACGGGCAGGAAGGGGGTGCTTCAGCGAGTCCCAACCCTCTGCTGTCTCCCCCTGTTCTCTGGCTCTGTTTCCTGCAGCACAGGGCCCCCAGAGCTGTGCGGCTTGTACTCTCAGGTTAGACCAGGTGGGCTAAGGGTTTTGAAAATAGTACTCGGAAGATGAAAAGCATCACGTGATTTGCTTTTTAAACAAAAGAGAGCAGCTTATCGATGTGCAGGATGTGCAGACGCTGAGACCGCAGATGACAACACTTGGATGTTGACAGTAAACTATTCACGTAACTGGGCCCTGAAGTCTGGAATATCTGCAGATGTTTTTACCCTTCTGACAGTGGAGACCTACAGAAAGCAAATAAGGAGGTCACCATAGTCATAATAAATATATATATTTAGCACAAGTATATCCCCAATATGGCATGGGACATACTTTAATCCCAAAAATTTTTGGTTAATCTGAAATTCAGAATTTGACTCGGCATCTTGTATTTCTCTTTTTCTTTTTTTTTAGTTATTGATAGAAATTTATTTGTATTTACATGCAGCACTGAGAATCGAACCCAGTGCCTCACACATGCTAGGCAAGGGCTCCACCACTGAGCTCAACCCCAGCCCCATCCCGTGTTTTTCTCTGGGGAATCTGGCAATGCTGCAAATGAGTCATCTGTGGAATTTCAGTGGCTTCTATTACTGGTCAGATTTTATAAAGTGCTGCATGCATATTGAGAATAAATAGAATGAAGTGGGCTGGTACAGAATCGAGGGGAGAAAAAGTCACAAGAAGAAGTTGAAGGAATCGAGTTAGAGAGTGCTGTGGACGTGGGTTGTGTCCAGCTGGATTCCAGCTGCCTCTGGTGTGCCTGCAGCACAAGGCACCGTGGGATTCAATCCTCGCACTATTAATGTAATGAGTTCCAATCACAGCCATCCCCTGGGCTGCTCCTGTGCACGGAGGGCTTTTAGGAAGTAGGCAGGGCAGAGAATGGCAAGTCCATGGAGCAGGTGAGCAAACTAAGACTTGGAAAGTGGGTCGCCCAGCCCCCAGGGACACCTGGCCACCCCTCCTGGACTTGCTGGTCCTGCAGCGTCGTTGAGCTCCTCACACCAGCCAGAATGGAAATCCAGATCATTCCCCCGCCTCAGCATTGCCCACCCCTGCTGTTTAAATTTTAAAAGAGAGTTGGTGGGAAAGGGGGAAGGAAGTCAGTAAGAAGGTCACTGCACCCGTTCTGCAGAAATTCCTACTTTGTAGGGTTGGACTTCTTTTGTAAGTCCTTAACTTTGGGGCCGTGGGCAGGGGTTGAACCTGGAGGTGCTTAACAACTGAGCCACATCCCCAACCTTTTTAATTTTTTATTTATTTTTTAATTATTATGAATTTTATCTGTTCTACTTAGTTGTATGTGACAGCAGAATTTATTTCAATTCATCATACACAAATGGAGTGCAAATTTTCTGGTTGTACATGGTGTAGAGATACACCGTTTGTGCAGTCATACGTGTACCTGGGGTAATGGTGTCCATCTCATTCTGCCGTCTTTCCTACCCCCGTAATCCCTCCCCACCCTCCCTTTTGCCCAATTCAAAGTTCCTCCATTCTGTTTTGAGACAGGGTCTCACAGAGTTGCTTAGGGACTCGCTAAGTTGCTGAGGCTGGCCTTGAATTGGTGATCCTCCCACCTCAGCCTCCTAGAGACTGGGAATACAGGCATGCACCACCAGGCCCGGCATAAGTGCTTAACTTTAGACAATAAGTTGGAGATGTCCGCCTCATGGGGAATAAGGAACACTCYAGCCCCAGGGAATAGTCCCTGAGCACTGGGGTCTTTGTGTTTTTCTTCTGGGATCTGCTTCTGCTCTTTTAACTTCAAGCTCATGCTCACTCGCAGCCCTTTTGGTCTTTTCCAAGTCCAGCAAGTTCTAGCAGAACAGGCCCCAGTCCCACCCGTGGCTTATCCTCTTGGTGCATCTAGAGGGGATGGGCGGGGGGTGGAGCTGCCAGCAACCTGCTGCCGTGTCCCTTAGCACGTGGTAAGATTTGTGTCTTCTTGGTTCATCCTCAGCCTACAGAAGTGGATCATTGACCTGGCCATGGTGAGTGTTGCCCTGACGACGCACCCGCGGCCCCTCCCACAGTGTGTGACTGTTGAGCACCTGTAATCGTCAGAGGATGAAGGAATTCTTTCTGGGTTGATAATTGTGTATTGGCCACATACTCATCCTTTTTCTAGCTTTGCCCCGCCCCAAACATTCTTTTTCCTCATTGAAAAAGGTCTGATTTTTTTCCTAACTTAGCTCAGAGCCAAAACTTCCCATGGGATTCTGAGAGTGGGTCAGGATGCCCTTGCCCACAGATCTTTCCAAGATGACAGAAGCGAATGTCGCTYCTCGATGCGAGAAGGGGAGCTCACTGGTGGTCACAGGCCACTGTCTGCCACGTGCAAACTCATGGATTTCACCCCCACCCCACAACCTGTCCTTGACTTGGTGGCTGGGTGCAGCAGTGCTGCCTGGAGCCTGGCTACCCTGTGGTCCAGGGTGGTATTCTCTTGCCTGCCGACCTGGGAGTCTTCGCTGGGAACTCGGGTGCCTCCTGCAGCAGGTCCTCCTGCAGCAGGCCGCTGTGTTCTGGTCTCTGGGGCTGAGGAGGCTGCAGCAGCTGTGAGCCTTCACCCTGCGGAAGGTGGGAAGCTGGGGGTGCAGGCCCCTGAGAGTCAGGCCCGAAGGTCAAGGCGGCGGTCCTGGGTGCTCTTCTGTGCTCTCACCAGCCCTCATTGAGATGACACTTCATGATCTCCATTTGCCCTTCCCCTCTGTGGTCCGTCCTTCAGGCCCGAGTACCTGCTCCATGGCAGCCCGGGGACCTGGGGGCAGGGTAGTGGGTGTCCGAATGTCGTGGAGCTGCAGAGCAGCCGAGGAGTGGACGGCTTCCCCGGGAGACCTGAACCCCACTCTCACCCCCCGTTTATTCACAGAGGAGGACGGGGCTCTTCAGAGTGTCCCGAAGCAGCTGGAGCTGCCCTGCTCCTCTCTATTCTGGTCCTAGTTTGGAGGGTCTTAGGGGCACCGTGCTGTCCTGGTAATATGTGTATTAAGACGGGACACTTCTCAGTTATGGTCCCCCCCCCCCAAAAAAAAAAGACCACTTCAAGATTCACAGATGCTTTTCTCCTGGAAAGATGAGCCCCGAAGAATCCAGAGGGCAAGCTTCTATGCAGCAGGTCGGTCTCCTGGCTCCTCCCCAGGCTCCGTGTGGCCTCGGGCCCTGGGGCTGGCCTCAGATGCCAGTGTCCCTCTGCAGTCCTCCCTCCGCTGTCTGCCCAGCTCTCCAGATTGCCCGCCAGCCTCTTTCCTCACAGGTCCACTTGCTTGGGGCTAGTCTAGCCACCATCTGCACCTGGCACCACCTGGGTGACCTCAGTGGCCTCCCTGCAGTGGACCCAGTGGCTGGACTTGCAGGTGCTGTAGACCTGGCCCTGGTGGGCCACAGGCTAATTTTTGAGGCTTTCTGACTTCACAGGTTGCAGAGGACCCAAGCGCATCTCTATGTGGATTAGAGCAGCCAGGACTTCAGGGGGATGGCTGCCATTGGCTGCTTGRAGTTTAGGAGTGACTTTTCTTTAAAAGCACTGTATCTGGTGCTCTGATGGGTCTGACTTTCTTATGTTTCATCTTCAAACAGAACTTAAGTACGTTCATCAGCGCGGCCAGTAAGTTCGCCCAGCTCCAGTATCTGTGGAAAGTGCGAGACTCGGGGGCTGTGAGCGCGCTGACCTGGGGCCTCGCTGCGTACACCTGTGCAAGTAAGGACGTGGGGTGGCCCCTGCCAGCATCCTGACTCTCCGGAGTGGTGAACTTGGTTTCCAAACATTGTGGTCTCTTAGCCTTGATACTTTGCAAACAGCTATTCAGATAGAGCCTGCTAGCTAAGAGTATCCACATTTACAAGTGGATTCAATGTCCTCTGCTCACCATTTTCTGCAAGATCCGTATTTTGTATTCTAGTGGCCAAAAAATAAATGGAGGTGAAAGTACACTTTCCTCCAAATATCTGGCCTCATGTTAATAGTTCTCTGAAAAGCACGGAGACTGATTATATTGAGACCACTGATATATTTTTAAACTTTGAATCTTAACAATTTAATGAATTAAACAGATGAAAACCATGTTATCAGCTGGCAGTGGTGGTGCACACCCGTGGTCTCAGCAACTTGGAAGGCCAAGGCAGGAGGATCACAGAAGGGCTGGGCGTGTGGCTCTGTGGTAGAGGGCTGCTGGGTTCAGCCCCCAGTACCATAAAGGAAGGAAGGAAAGGGAGGGAGAAAATCACACATTGTTTTAATTCAGAGATACCACAGTGGCTTTATAGGACTTTAGTTTTACCATTTTAAATATTTTAATTACAATTCATGGTTCATCTACAACTTATAGGACCAACTTCTCCATAGAAATTGCTGGTTTGAGGTTTTCAATGTCTAAAGTTACTTAAAATGACTTCTTAAGTTTTATTTTTAGCTTTCAAATGTTTAAGGATTAATGTGTTTTACAGCTATGATTTCTTCTGGAATTGCTAATTAGATATATTACTTATTAGCTCCTAAATTTATCTTCAGACCTGTTGCTTATTAAATTTTCTTTTAGAAAGTCCTGTAACTGCAGAGATGAGTCTATTATCGCAACCTCTCTCCCATGGCACTTTGTGCTTAATGAGGACTTAGGTGTTTGTTGAATAGGTGAAAAATGCACAGAGGACTATACATTTTTTTTTCTTTGCAGTGCTGAGGATCAAACCCAAGGCCTCACTCATGCTAGGCAAGTGCTCTACCACTGAGCTACATCCCTAGGCCCTTAGGATTTCATGGGAAAAAGTAAACTGCTTTAAACCCAGTGTTCTTTTTGAGAGATGAGGCTAAGGACTTCCGCACCGCTGTGGAAAGCATGGAGTCTGCATCTTTAGCATCCCTCCTGGTTCCTTCCCCCGGCTACTGTTTTTAGCCCTTGGAGCCAGTCACTGCCACATAGCACATCTTCTCTAGTCACCGTGCTGCCCAAGAGGTCTCTTGAACTTGTCACACTGAAATTTGGCCATCCATCTCTCCAGCTGCCCCCCTCCACCCCAGGTGCCTGGTCTCTGCCCTTCAGGCTTGTGTTTTAGCCGGAAGATGAGACCAAAAAGCTACATGTCAATATGCACTAAATGCAGAGCATGGTAGCAGAGGGCACGCGCCTCTGGAGGGCTGGTTTGGTGAGAATGTGTGCTTTGCGCTGCAGGAGGTGGGGTTCTTGATCCCATTTCACCCTGAGGTGCGCTGGTTTAAATTGCTACCCCAGAATCCTGTTTATTATGTGAAAGCTTCTTCCAGAAAAATGAGCTAGAACTGAACAGTTCTGGTTAGACTCAGGCACCCTTACCCATTTCTGGCCCTCAGTTTCCTTACCTGTGAAATCCAAGGTAGATCTCAGTGATTTCAATGCACTGTTTTAAGTTGGTAGGAGCCTTTCTTTAATGAAACTACCAGGAAGCTCAATATGCAAATGAGACTTTTAAAGTTGCCTTTGAGGGTGGGGGTTGTGGGTTGGCACAAAAACAGTGGAAGGAGAGCTCAGCCTCTTCCTCTTCCTCTTCTGTAGTTGGCTGAACTCAGCTACTTCCTAGAAACTGTCTGTGCTCTTAGGAGCAGTTTGTAAACCACTGTGCCAGGAAGCATGGCTGGTGTTTGGATGGTTCTGGAATGTAGTGCTAGTTAGTGATCTGACCTAACAAAACCTTCCAAGACTGGTTAGTGTATATTGGCATGTTAAAAGGGAACGACATTAGCTCAACACCCAAATGCCTGACAAGCAAGTTATTTATTGCTGCCAATTTTCTTTTACAGCAAGAATAATAACAACTTTAATGACCACCAATGATTTTACAAGTAAGCAAAAGTACTTTCCTTCCTGTTTGTGTTCTATTTGTGCCTCTTTGGAAACTGCCTTTCATAGATCTGCTTGGCTCTCGGGATATAGAGTCAGGATGGCAACAGCGTGTTCCTCATCGGTCACCATTTTTATTGCTAAGCGACTACTTGGAGTACCTGGGATAGACTAGGCACGAGGGTCGACTCCACTGCAGAATGAAAATGGGCAGTGCAGGAACCACACGCTTAGCTACTGGAATCTGTCGTCCCAGCTGCTCGGGAGGCTGAGGCAGGGGGATGGCTGGAGCCAGGCAGGTCTGGACAATATGAAACCAGGTCTTTTTTTTAAGAGTAGGAGTAGGGCAGGATGCGCACCTGATGGGAACCCGACCTCTGCGGGAGCTGAGGGGATTGAAGAAGACAGAGATCTTACAGCAGAAGAGAGACTTGGTCAGAGAGGTAGAGAGACCCTTACAAGGCACAGCCCAGGGGAAGGCTGGGAGCAAAGAGGACTCAGGCCTAGAGAGGCCGAGAGGCCCCTGAGTCTGGCAGCACTGAGCAGGAGAGCGGGGAGGAGGAGGAGGAGGAGGAGGAGGAGGAGGAGGAGGAGGAGGAGGGTGCGGGGCTGGGGCAGGGCCTTCCCAGCTGAAGAAGGGCCACGGGAGAAGCCTCTGAAGCTCTGTAGAGCGCAGAGTGGAGGAGAAAGTGTTCTGGTTAGAGTTTAGTAGTTCCTCAGGCTAATGTTCAACTCCCAAGTCGAGCCTGGTGTATATTATAAATCTTTGGAAAAAAAATTAGAACACATGGTTGTATCTGTTCTATCCAATGAAAATCAGAAAACGTCCCCAGCACACAGACCCTTAAATAAGCTAACTATTTGAGACTTATTGCTTCAGAAAAGGGAAATGCATATGATTGTCCTTTCCCAGAAGCTGTACCTTTGGCCCAGACTTTTTTTTTATCAGCTCTGGTTGTAGGATTAAAATTATTCTAATTAAGCCAGGCATGGTGGCATATGCCTGTAATCCCGGCCAATAGGGAGGCTGAGGCAGGAGGATTGTGAGTTTGAGGCCAGCCTTGGCAATTTAGCAAGACGGTGTCTCAAAATAAAAGAGCTGGGGATGTGACTTAGCGGTAAAGTGCCCCTGGGTTCAATTTAGTACTATTAAAAAAAAAAAAAAAAAACACTATTCTGATGAAAGGATCCAGTTAGATCAGGTGGGAGAGTGAGGATGGAGACAGGCCTGGGTCTCCCTCTGGACTTGAAGACTTCTTAGCAGGTCTGTTTTGGTTAGTTACCCTTTGACTCTCCCTGCTAAGAAGTCTTCTCATCTGAAACCAAGTTTCAAAGACCAAGAATAACGCTTCTTGCTTGTGGTTGCTGTTCCTGAAAATGACCAGCGTGTTTGGTGGCTGTTTTAAATAGTGTGGCTTACCTGTTTTACCATCACAAAGGTATTTTACACCTCATCAACCGTATTTATCAGGAGTGGCATTGCCTTAAAGGCACTGTAACAGCGACCTATTTATTTCACAGAATCACGGTTTTATGGTGACTTCATTATAAAATATGCTTCGATATCTGGCCCGTTCTTCAGAATTAACCTTAATGGAATGCATTAGGCTACAGAGAACACAGAACCGTCTGAGACAGTGGCGCCCCTTATGTGAAATGAGGAAAGGGATTTAAAAAGTTGTACTTCTCAGCCAGAGCCAGACCTCGCTCAAGCATGAAAGGTGATTAGGGGTTGGCGTGAGGTCAGATGGGGAGCTGCAGGCAGACATCATGACAGGAAGCTCATTTCCCGGCGTGTCTGATCCACAGTTGGATTTCATTCTGGGTTGGGGGTGAAACTTGATGTGGCTGCTGCTAGAGCAGGAAGTGGTTTTCCTCCCTGATGTGACAAGCTCTTAATACCCACATTCTCCTTCTTTCTGGTTTTTTAGTTCTTATTCGTTTTGTGATCATGCTGGCTTTAAACTTATGGGTAACAGCTACAGTACTTCGCTACCGGAAGCCCGTCATAAAGGCTGAATGACGGACCTTATTGCTACACAAAAAGTGGATTTTGAGTAACTGAAGCAAAGGAAAAAGCAGCTCATTGCTACGTGAAGGTCTTTTATGTATTTAGTCAATCATTTCAGGAAACTTTGAAGTCAGAGGTATTTAGGACTTCAAAGAGTACTTAAACTTACTTAAAAAAATGCCAATTTTGCTGGGTTTGGTGGCATATGCCTGTAATTGCAGGTACTCAGAAGGCTGAGGTAGGAGGGTGACAGGTTTCAGGTCAGCCTGGATAACTTGGGGAGACCCTGTTTCACAATAAAATAAGGGCTGGTGTGTTTCTCGTGGTAGAGCACTTGCTTTGCATATGTGAGGCCCAGGGATCAATATCCAGGACCAGGGAGAAATGTCTTAGAATGCGGGTTTCCTTCCGTCTCCCCACTCCTGAGGCCACAGCCAGCTGACAGCTCATCTTTGATACCTGCAGTGACCCACAGAAGATGCTCAAGCAGCCTACGAGCCCTCGTTCTTCAAGTCATGATTAAGTACTTTCTGAAAAGCCAACTACATCTGTTTTTCAGGTTTCAAAATCTTTTAAGTAATAACTTCTTTCCACAACTAAAATGAACACGGAATGAGATTCTGCTCAGTTGGGAWGTGAAACTGCAATATATCAGCAGGGCTCGCTCTGGGCCTGCTTGATTGTAACACAAATAAAACACCGGGGCCTGGCTTGATGCCACACACCTGCCCGGCTAAGCAGGGAGGGCTAAGCACCTCCTGGAAAGGCTGGTGTTCTGTGCTCAGTGTCCTTTGGCTTCACCCTGTGCCTTTGAATATTTCTATAAAAAGGTACTAATAGTTGTAATCTCCACTGAGGATGAGGAAGTGTATCCCAGGAAACTTCCCAGTTTAAGCACAGTGCTACCATTTAAAAAGGGCTACACCTGTATCATTACTGGGTTTTGGTATAAGACACCACTTTTTAGCTATTGAAAATACAGTAGTAAAGAGCAATGCTAGGTTCTGTCTAAAGCTTATGGATTTTATTCTTATAGTATCTTGTCCTAAACATGTTAAGAGTATTCCCTAACATTTCAAAACTCAAATCCCCCTTCTACGTGAATGGTATTATTCTGTTATATGCAGTAAGCAAGCAATGTTTACTAGTATACGTTTACTTTCCTGTGAACCTGTGTATAATAAACTTTCATATTTTGGACTCTGATTGATTGATTGATGCTGGGGACTGAAACTAGGGTCACATACATGCTAGGCAAGCACTCTACCACTGAGCTTTAATGTAATTTTTGAAATTATTTAATTTTTCAATAAACTGATTACTTATTTCAGAATTACCGCTTGGGACCATGWGGAAGAAAAATATCGTATTGAAAACCCCAAAGACTCGGAAGGCAGAGACAGGAGGGTCCAAGCTGGAGGCCAGTCTGGGAAAGATAGTGGGACTGTGACTCAAAAGAAAAAACTGCTGGGGGTAGCTCAATGGTAGTGTCCCTARGTTCAATCCCAGTAGCAGAAACTAAAATTAAAAAAAAAAAAAAAATCATTCTCATGTAGCTGTTTTGATCATAGATGGCCTTTAAAAAAAATCCAAGTTGATATTTCCTCATATACACTTATAACCTATTAGTGCAAATGCAAATTATGTGATTTTTTATTCCAATGAAGATTTTGATATACTTTATCACTGCTTAAAATAACTCCCTTAAGAACATATCTAAGAAGAGTGCTCCAATTTTTCCTCTTTGGGAAGGAACAAACATTTTAATTATTCCAGACACATATTTAATCCTTCATTTAACAGATAAAAACATTGAGGTGAGTGCAGCTGTGGTCTAGACCACACCCAGCCCATGCTTTATACCCAGGTTTTAGGGAAGACAAATTTTTAGGTAAGCTTTAGAAAGCTGTAGCATTCCAGGACTATTTCACAGGCAAAGTATGAAAATGCTTACATCTTCATTTCTTTTATTTATTTTTTTATAAAAAGCAGGCATAAAATACAATTACATTTCTACAAAGATGCAATAAAATTAAAAAAAAAATCAAGGGGGCACGATTTTTGTTCATGGGGACAGTTGATCAGCTATTTATGATTATCTAAACCATGCAGTTCATAACTTATTACAATCCCAAACATAAGTCATCCCGGGGGAAGGGAATCAGGCGAGGCCCCAGCCGTGACACCCGCACTGTCACACAGTGCTCTTCAAAGTGCTTTAGGGCCCAGGCACCTTCACAAGCTAGGGGAGCTGAAGCCTCTGCCAGGCGAGGGAACGAGTCAGTAGCAGTGTCACCGTGGACTGAGAGGCTCAGTGGTGTGCTGAGGGGTTTTAGACACCTACTCAGAGCCTTCTCTAAGGTGAGTGTAGTGTCTGAGTGTCTGCTCTCCCCTCAGAACCCTATGAGAAGGACCAGCAGCAGCAGCAGGACTTGTGAAACTGCGCGTGGTGGCCTAGGGCTTCCCGGGTAGGATCCATGTACTGACTGAGGCCCAGCAGCCCCGCAGAGGCGCGTCCTGGACCCCGGCACTGCTGCAGTTCCAAAAGCGCTCACTGGTTCCCATGCCCATCAGGTGCTACCCATTAGTCAGCTACAGCATTTTAAACTTTCAGATTTTTTTAAAAAATCTTGCTTCTAGATAGGTCTTAAAAAATTAATACTTAAAAAARTTCATTATACATTAATCTTCAACAGTAATACCGGCACTAGTTTTACTTCTGTCTCGCTATCCCCACAAAAGTAAAAAAAATTAAACTAAGAAAATCCCAGTATTCACTCTTTCTTAGTTCCCATAGGAGGTATTCGTGGCTCTAGGAGAAATCAGGTGTGAAGAAATAAACAGAATTTGGTCTTATAAATATAGAAATTCTGGAACCTCAAGAAAAAGAAACTGGCACAAAATCAGGTTGTTTCATATTTACCAAGTGTTGGGAAGAAAATGTGGACAGATGTGTACATGAAGGTGGCAACTGGGGAAAAAGCAAATTCTCACCCAAGGTCAGAATTTTTTATTAAGCACATTTCCATTAGTTGGACAAACAACCTTATAAATCTTTTATCAAACCATATAATGTGAAGAATCTCCATGGGAGAGATTTTTTTCTCACCCCTCAGAAAATCTTTTCCCCTAAATACTTCACATTAATTTTTCTTGTACAGTTGTATCACACCATGATTCTCCCTGTTCATATATATATACATATGCATATATGTATATACATATACACGTACAGCATTCAAAATTCAAACTTTTGCTTTTTACTCAGATACTTCAATTACTYGTGTAAACTTGAAATTATTTCACCTTAATAAAGTTTATTAAAAATATATATATATACTCTCCAATTCAGAATAATAGGATAGAACCTCCCATAGTGTAACAAAATCTTTATATAAAATATTAATTCCGTCTCCTTTTAACAACTCTAGTGAATGGAAATATTTCTTCTATATAAATTTTATATATTTTTCATTTTAATCTTTAAAAAAACAAAAAAAGCAAGCTGTGTCCCAGCCAGCACTGCAGGATGCACCTGTGAGGGAAGTGGCAGCACGTCGAGTGTTAGCACAGAAGCAGGGAAGAGCGCAGAGCCAACAGCGTGAGAACAGCTCAGAATATCAGTAGGCCAAAGTGCACTCTGTAACTCCCACAAAAGTATCTATAATGGGGACTCAACTCTTCAGACACCTCTGCATTAACCCCAGAGGGAAGCAATGAGAAATGTCTACTTCCTTCATTGAAATACTGGATGATACATTTCGATCATACCAAACTCTGTGTGTGTACACAGGAGAGCCTGATAAAAGACTGATTTTTTTAAAAACTTGATGCCTACCATTGCTGCATACTGTTGCAGTACAAAACATACTTATCTGGGATAATGAGAAACACAGCAGGAATGGTCCTGCATAAATTTTAGTCTTGAGAACATTTTAAAAATAAAAATTTAATCGGGTGCCTTTGAGGCTGCTTCCCCCMAGTCAGTGATTTTCTTAACCCAATACTGAGATACCACCAGACCCAGTTGTGTGTTTGAGGATCACATTTAAATATTTAAAATATATCTACAGTATATCCTAGTTTTCTTTATATCTGAGACAATTTTTAAATCTTGAGTGTGAAAATGTAAAAATAGTCACAAATGTCTTTACCAGAAATAAAAACACATCTAAGGTGGCCAGTAAGTTCAAAGCAAAGAGAACATTTTGTAGTCACAGACTAATACTGAGGTCTGTAGAAAGGGATAGATGAATAAAGATATACAACAAAGATATATTAGTTCCAATACTAGCCATTATTGTTTCTAAGACCAATACATTAAAAAAATTGTTATACAATCAAAATAGGCTGACACTGATAGAACTACTATGTGTAAAAATAGTGCACTTTTTTTTTTTTTTTTTTTACCCTAAGCAACTTTGCATCCTAAGAGCTGGTAAACACTTGTTCTTTTTTTCTTAAATACAGAAGGGATGAGACTTTGAAAAAAAATTAAATTAAGGCATTCAAAATGGGTAAAGTTCTCTATCATGAAGCATTAGGAAACTGATATAATTAACTTCAAACTTCTTATTACAGCAACTGTTTAAACATGAACATGCAGCTTCCATTATGTGCAGGGGAAAGTGAATCAACTCCACATTATGGCTTTATACAAGTGCATAGTTGCAGCTGAAATAATGATATCTGATTAATGTGTATAAAAAAATAAAATGGGGAGTTWAAAAAACCCTCTTGCAGTATTACAGTACTATATGTGTGTGTGCACATACATACACACACAGTATCATGGTCACATCTTAAAGATGCAGTCAATATCACTGTAGTGGAATCCATTCCCAGGTTCTTCTGGCAAATGTGCTGGTGAAATCTCTCTATCAAAGCTGAAAAGATGATTTCTTCAATATTTAACTCTTCTCAATTCTTCTGTGCAATGTAGTGTGAGTGACTGCCAAGAGAGCTTTATGAAACAAGTTTGGGAGAGTTGCAGATGATATCCTTATTCTATTAACCAACTGCTGTTGGTTCAACTTGTTTGAAAGAAGCTAGGAAAACCTCTCCAAGACTTGTCATTGATATTACAGGAAAAAGGAAACACATATATGTATGTGTATACATCAGTCTCTCTGGAAAATACAGATTTTTAATAAATTTTAGGTCATCATATTTCAGTCTTATTTTAACTGGAAGAATATGATCACCTTGAATGACTGCTTTCATAGAAGGCAGTTAGCTGGAAAGAGAGGAAAGATAAAAGTTAGTTGATAGTAAAATAATTTAAGAGACTGTTAAATTCCTTGAAAAGGCATTTCAATTCATACTTTTAAATTATACTGTCTTCCAACTGCTATATTTTTAACACCTAAAATCATGCATAAGCATAGTAACTGTATTACTTTTCTTATTTATTTATTTTTTTTTTTTTAGGTACATGCAATTATATTGCTTTTCAATACAACAATGGACTTTGGAAGTCCCATAGTGGTTACAAACATTACACACAGTTTTAATGCAGTTAACAAGATATTAGGGTTAAACAATATGCCACTAATAACACATCTGAATTGAAGTTTGATGTGAGGTTTAACTGCTAGCTGCCTCATGTATTTGAAAGAGCAGTGGTCTTAAGGGCCAAGTTCTTCTTGGCTGTTTGGCCCTAAGCCACATTTTTCTTATTTATGAAACAGGAACAAACACAATGTTGTAGTAAAGATGCTCCATAAAACCTGCATATAAACAGATCCCAATATCACGTTTTGCAACATGCTGACTTAGTGTAAGACAGGTGTTCTTCCTCTAAACTCGGTCTAGGTAAAAGATCGAGGTCATGAGGCTCAACTTTCATTCCATTTTCTTTAATCACTATTAACGACACTATTTGATGTTTTCTAAAAGCACAGGAATTTTCACAGCATATCATTAGCATTCTTCAGCAAGGGTAACACTGAGTTCTTGCAACATCTCATCACATCACAAAGAAAGCCAAATCAGAAATAGCAATTTCACAGCACTTAGCAAACTTAGAAAGTTTTTATGGTTTGAATTCTTGCAAACTAGAGAAGGAAAGAGGGAGGAGAAAGGGATGGAGGAAGAAAGTAATCCCATGCTATGTTCACAAACTAGTGCAGCTGTAGGAGCTTCAGAACACTGTAATTTTACTTCTCTGAACACGGCTTCTTTGGAATGAATAGAAAGTACCAGAATTAGCTCCTTTTGTTATTTCTACATGTTTCATTCCCAAGATAAAAATTTTTAATTTTGACAATACTGAGAATTTATAGACAATAGAGAATCTGAACATAGCATTTTACTTTTATACTTCACATGGAAATTTCAGTTAGAAACTTTTCTGTAAACTCTTTTTTAACAGACTATTAAAAGCAACTTTACAAAATTTCAAAACTAGCGGAAAAATAACGAAAGCCCAACTGCAAACCACATGCTCTACACGGAAGTGCTAAAATAACTTTTTTTTCCATTTTTTTGATTTACCCCATTTATTTCTTCAGAAATCAAAAACATCGTCATCATCATCACCATCATCAACATCATCAAATGACCAATCCCAGTCTTTAAATGCCAAATCAAGCAATCTGCAATAGGAGGTTTGCAAATTTATACTCTTAACATTCTCTATAAACTACAGCTTAATGCTATGACTGAGAAATTGTATTTCAAATGTGCTGTAAGCATTTTCACTTTCCCTTCACCAATAACATAATTAAAATTAAGATGGATGCATAAAAGAAAACTTTCCCTTTGTTTGTAAATGTACACAATTATGTTGGCCAGGTACGCTTTCTAGAATACTAGTTAACTGAAGACAGAGATAATATTTGGGAAAATATCATACAATCTGCTTCCTCCTCCTCATCCCCACTGCCCAGATAAAGATGTAACTGTCCTGCTACTCAGTCTGAGAAACATGAAGGCTCAACAGCTGCCAATATTCCCTTCATAGCAGTGCCTAGATTATCCGCTCACATTTCTCCACAACAGCACCACAAAACCTAGAAGAATAGGGGAGTGATACCCTGGGAACACAGTCTTTCCAATACCAACAGTGCCCTRCCTAGCTCAGGGAGTCACCAACACCTATGCTCTACATGTGAAAAGGTAGACACAAAGGAAAGGCTACAGGTATATAAGCGACATGGACAACTTATCTTGGCTAAATAAATTTTACTTAGTGCTGGGGTTTTGTCTTCTCTCCAATCCAATAATCAGTAACACTGAAATCATTGTATTAAAAAAATAGGAGTTATCGTTCATTATTTATAACTGTGACATTCATTGATTTGTGCCAAGGAACTCATCTGGTCCCCAAAATCTCACCCGGGATCACTATGTCAGTGSTTCTCAACTTTAGAGAATATGATCTTCTGAATGCTCTTTGAAACTTTGACAAAACAGGTTTATGGATGTTATCTTAAAACTAAACAAACCAACTAAAATTCTTGTCTTCTAAAGTGGCAGAACAAGGAAAATCTGAGAAAACAAACTTTGTGGGGCACGGTGGTGCAAAGCTGTAATCTCAGTGGTACAGAAGGCTTAAGCCGGAGGCTCCTGAGTTCAAAGCCAGCTTCAACAACTTAGCAAGGACCTAAGCAGTAAGAGCCTGTCTCTAAAGAAAATATAAAAAAGGGATGGGATGGGGGGCTCAGTGGTTAAGGCCCCAAGGTTCAATCCCCAGTACCAATAAATAAATAAACAAACACAAACTTTGATATAATTTTACTTATCTATTTGCAGATCACAGCTTTGTATACACTAATTTTATGAGGCTAAAGTAACTTTTACCTTTTGTTTCAACTTGGAAGATTACTATAGGTAGGGCTTCCTAGATTTCTGGAAGATTACTATAGGTAAGCCTCAGTTTCAGCACATTTTATGAAAAATCAGCATTTCATACCCTTCCAGAAGCTCTGAAGTATGTGTCAGTGACAAAATCTCAAGTTTCACAGTCCAGTCACACAGTTGCTGTGTGCAATACATGATAGGACTTCCCTAAGAACTCTCTTTCATCCCTTCTATTCAGTCATTGAACTTTGGTTTTTTTCAACTTTAAAAAATCTTTTTGAATTTATGTTTCTTTCCTCCATTTTCACTGTCAGTTCTCAGTTCAGGGTCTCATTAAGTTTGAACAGACCAATCCCTCGTTGAAATACCTCTATTTGTAGAACAAAATCAAAATTCCTCAGCAACGTGTAGCTGGTTCTTAAGTTAGGTTCAAAACTTCCTTGTCAGCATCATGTCATCTTCTACCACTTCCTACCGTCACTTGCTCCTGACCCCACTGTGGCTCGTTTCACACATGAGTAATTCAGACAGCTTCATTCTTCTGCATGTGACATTTTGCCTGGAATTGTTTTTGCCCTTATTTGTTTGCCTGGAAAATTAACGATTCTCCATTTTTTGTAAATATTTCACGCCACTCCCACCCCAATTTTGGGTATTAAACCCAGAGGCACTCTACCCACTGAGCCACATTTATTGAGACAGAGTCTCCCTAGGTTGCTGAGGCTGGCCTTGAACTTGCAGTCCTCCTACCTCAGCCTTCCAAGCTGCTAGGATCACATGTGTGCACCATTGTGCTGGGCTTGAGACCTCCCTTCATACCTCCAGCAGAATTCACCATGCTTTCCTTTGGTGTTCCATGTCTCTATTGCAGGCAACATTTTATAGGGCAGTTCAATTATCCGTTTGCCTGTTTCCTCCATTAACTGGTAAGTTACACCTCAGGACTTCGAGACTAACTATCAAAGAATGCTTTATAGGGTGCACTGAATTTTGAGTTCTAGCAGCAATACACAAGAACATTCACTTCTATCTTACAATACTGAGTTTCTTAATCCTTGCCAGTTTGGCAGGTGAGAAATGGTTTTGTGTTATAGCTGTAATTCTTTGCTTAATAATTATTTTGATCACATTTTTACTTTTAAAAGCTACTTCTAGAGTAGTGCCTCAATGTTTTTCACTACTTTTATATTAAGATAAGGCAGTTAATGATTTAAAAGACATCCTGTTTGTTTTGCAATGCTAGGGACTGAAACCAGGGCCTCTTGCATGCAAATACTCTGCAACTGAGCTACACCCATCAGCATCTAAAATATTTTTATATACAAAAATATCAACCCAGACTTTTCATATATACGTTGAAAATATTTGGTATTTTAACTTATTGTAAAATGGTGTTTCAAACTTTTACAAGGCTTTAATTTCAGAATAGTAGTCTCTATATAGTCACTTATTTTATTCCATTTATTTAGTGGGCTTATTTTAACACTTTTAAGTTATATACAACTTTATCATTTTTCCCAAATGATAGTCTGCTAGCTTTCTAGCACTTAGAAGTAGAAAAGAATGAATATAAGATCACCATGACACAAAAGCTCTCCTCACCCTGAAGTTTTAATTATGCTGGCATTTTCCCCCTTAAAACCAGATAGCACCACAATGAACACTAGTTGAATTTCTGCTTTATACTTTCCAGAATGGTATTTTTTAAAAAAGACCCCAGGGGGAAAGGAGCAAGAAAGGTACTCCAGCCAGGCCAGTACTTTTGTGTCTTGTATTGAAACAAATTATTATCTCCCTGTCTTCATCAAGTTAGCATTTTATTTTAAAAAATCTACTTTCCAGCACAGTATCTTAATTTTAATGGAAAATCATCAAGGTAGCACTCATTTAGAATCCTGTTTCTATACATTATTCTTCTTAAATGGTCAATTAACTTCTATTTATACCAGAGAGAGGCCAATAGTGGAGTGCTGTAGTTCATAGTGCAGGCTCTGAAACCAAATTGTTTGGACCTAAATTCATAACCCTACAGCTTTCTGCTGTGTGATCTAGGGCAAAACCGTGCCTCAGTTTCCTTATCTATTAAGTGGAGGTACAAATAGCTACCTCACGGTGGTTTTGAGGGTAAATAAGTACAGCAAAAGCTCTCAGAAGAGGACCTGGCATATAATGAGCATTCAAAACAGTTYTTTTATGTAACAATAATAGCTACCACTCATCTATTACTTTAATCACTTCACTAGAGAAAAGGGGAAGTGATGTAGTAAGAGCTGATTGGAATCTAGAATGTCACAGATGCTAAAGGAAAACAGATAACAGAGCAACTGTTAACAAAGAAAGATACCATCAAAAGATTAGGCAAATATTTATGGACATGCTTTATTTAGTATGTATACAAATATATGCATAGGATTGCCTAACAAAGCCAAAGAGCTGTTTTAAGAAGAAAACCAAGTGTATTAGTTCAACTAAAGCCAGACTGGCTAGTACTAAGACTAATATTAAGTATACATAAACTTAAGAGCTAGAGGGGCTGGGTTGTGGCTCAGTGGTAGAGCGTTCTCCTAGCACGTGCGAGGCCCTAAGTTTGATCCTCAGCACCACATAAATAAAAGATATTGTGTCCAACAGCCACTAAAAAATAAATATTAAAAAACAAAACAAAACAACAACAACAACAACAAAAAAACCTTAAGAGCTAGATATTAAACCACTGCTGTTGAAACACCAGAAATTCTATCCCTATGTTTTCTTGGACGATTCTTTACTATCTCTACCCATCTGTATAGTATGCTATGAATGGGCAGAATGTTAAAGGTCATCTCGTCTGAAACTAGACTACCTAGAGAACATTCCATCTAATGTCTTCAAACCTGATGTCTGCACAGAAAATACAGAGGTAAGCAGCTCCAGCAAAGTCTCACTTAGGGCCCACTGAGAGGGCACGAAGGTCATGCAAATATCTGGTGATAGGGAACTCACTGTTCCAGAATAAGCCAATTCTTCCAATTTTAGAAACCCCTGAATGCCTGATAGGTTTCCCTTACTGAATTGAAAATGTACCTCTCTAATTGGGTTTGTTCCAATACATTTTCCAAGGAAATTCTTCTTTCTTTTCAAATAATAAAATATCTTTGCTTCTTTCATGTGCTACATGTACAATACTTTCATATGATCTACTAATAACCTCATTCATTCTCTTCTATATGCCTTCCAATTTGTGTACATGGCTCTTAAAATGAAAACATAAACACCCAAAATAAAATACCAATTGTTGGGCTGGGGATGTGGGCTCAAGCGGTAACGTGCTCGCCTGGCATGCGCGGGGGCGCTGGGTTTGATCCTCAGCACCACATAAAAGTAAAATAAAGATGTTGTGTCCACTGAAAACTGAAAAATAAATATTAAAAAAACTATCTCTCGGGGCTGGGGATGTGGCTCAAGCGGTAGCGCACTCGCCTGGCATGCGTGCGGCCCGGGTTCGATCCTCAGCACCACATACCAACAAAGATGTTGTGTCCACTGAGAACTAAAAAATAAATATTAAAAAAAAATTTCTCTCTCTCTCTCTCTCTCTCTCTCTCTCTCCCCTCTCTCTCTCTTTAAAAAAAAAAAAAAAACTATCTCTCTCTTAAAAAAAAAAAAAACAACAATTGTAGGTGACTCCTGGAAGACAGACATGTAAAATTGACAATTTGTGAGTTATCGGAACAATGGAGACACTGATGTTAAAAACAGTGGAAGAGATGTTTCAGAGGCATAACAAAACCTGATTATATATATTTTTAAAATATTTTTTATTTGTCAATGGACCTTTATTTTATTTATTGATACATGGTGCTGAGAATTGAAACCATGACTCACACACACTAGTCAAGTGYTCTGCCACTGAGCCACAATCCTAGCCCAAAATCTGATTATACTTTAAATGTGCCCATCTTTTATGTTTAGAATTTTAGAGTACATGAAATTTAAGATTTTTCAAAGCATACTCCATACATTGTTTAGTTTTAATATTAGTTTTACCTATATGCATGATTATGAGAGAAAGAAATCCCTATTACTTACTGTTGGTACAACAGATCAAAAAAAAAATGAAGAATAATTTGAAGGGCAGGGCAAGTTAAAAAAAAAAGTGACAAAAATCAAAAGTAAATGTGCTTTCAAATACACCATAATGCTAATTTGGAGTGGAGGCAAGAGAAGTTATTCATAAATCAGTGACCATGAAAACAGAAGGTTAAGTCAACAAAAGCATGTCACACTTGGTCTGAAAAATGGTTCATAAACTAATTCTGTATGTTATCACATTCAGGGAAATCATTAACTTATATCAAAAGGAATAGGGTTGCTCCAGTTTCAGATTTAAACAACTGTTTGCCCTTCTGGAATATTAATTTTAAAAAAAAAAGATAACAAGACTGTGCTACTTCATGAAACCATTATAAAGATCAAATGAGAGAAAATARGGAAGTTAAGCAGAGAGCACAATATACATGAAGTTGAAAACCACTACCCATTTAAAAGGTGCTTTGGTTTGGATGTACCCCTTGATCCCCATTGCAGTSGTGTTGAGAGGTGGGACCTCTGGGAGGTATTTGGGTCATAAGGGTCCATTTCTAGATTAACAGGTTACTATGGTAACAGCTACACTGTAAAAAGCAAGCTCTCTTTGGCAGCTGGCTGTACCACCATATGAGGCACTCTGCCACGTGATAATACGGCAGGAAGGCCCTCATCAGATGCTGGTGCCGTGAACTTCCCAGCAAACCACATCTAAATAAACCTCTTTTCTTTGTAAATTATCCTGTCTGTGATACTGAGTTTAAACAAGAGAAAACAGACTATGACATAAGGTATTAAGATAGCACTTATGCATTAATAGTTCAACAAAATTAATAACAAAAACTTARTTTTTAGATGTTTTACATGAGACACATGAAATGGTCTTTACTGTTTCTGAATTTTTGTTTCTTTAACTTAGTTACTATCATATAAACACTATTTTTAAATATTTAGTTTTATCATACCTCACACAAAATAACACTTTCACTGATGACACAYCCATTCTACCTCTGTCATTCTAAATTATTTCCTTTAGATATTAGTTTCAAGAAAGTTTCATATAAGTTGTTTGTGGTTAGAGTAAGATTTCTGATAATACAGCCAATCATCATTATTCATAYAGTGAAGGTCTTGTGTTAGGGAACAAAAAGGATACCTGAAATTAAATTTCTGAACTAAGCATATACTTTTTCCTTAGTTGACCAAATCCTCATGCTCAATTAATACTAATGCTTATAAACCTTGCAGTAGCTAGTAAGCCAAGACATGGATATTCCAAATGGAAAGTTATTAAATGACTTATTGTAGTCACATGAAAATGGCTCCATTATAATGCTTTTGTGCTTAATGAACATTCCTAACTTAACTCTATTGAATTTCAAGTCACTAGTTAATATTTACATTTTAAAATCTTGTCTATGTTTCTGTTTAAGTCACAGACAAGTCACTGCTTTAAACTAATAGAAGTAAATTAAGCCTGAATCTGATTTCAGTTCTGCCTCCCAAGTCACCTATCAGAAAAGAAAGTTAGCGGTATGAAACACAGTGGAAGATCTGGGTGCAATGAAATGCCATTTCCCAAGTCACTAAATTAGTCAATGTGTTTATTAAACCTGAAAACATTATGTTTATATGCAAAAATATGTCAAAAGCAAGTCCTTTAAAAATATTTGGTATTCCATTGTTCATTAAARCACCAAGTAAGAGTTGGGGCTATTGCTTGGTGGTACAGTGTAGGGCTTGCCTAGCCTTGCAAGACCCTGGGGTCAATCCTCAATGATGCAAAAACAAATAGAATTTTTTWAAAAAGAAGGAGGGCTGGGGCTGTAGCCCAATAGCAGAGCTCTTGCCCAGCATGTGTGAGGCACTGGGTTTCATCCTCAGCACCACAAAATGAATGAATGAATGAATGAATGAATGAATAATCAAACAAACAAAATAAAGGCATTCTGTCCATCTACAACTACAAAAAAAAAATTAAAAGAAAGAAGTAAAGTTATAGTTTGAATTAGTATGGACATAAATAGCAAAATTTTAATAAAGGAACTTTTATCACATATTTTAATTTATTACCTTGGTTTGTTTGGGGCAAGCTGTCGACTTGGCCGTCTGATAGACTGGTTTTGTTGGATCTTCATTGAAGTTCTAGGAGATGACCGTGCAAAAGGGTCTGGAGCGGGGGGCTTTTTAGGTATCTTTTTGACCAACCGACTAACCCACTTCTGCTGCTCTTCTGTAGAATTTGCTAATAACAATAGATTCTTTGCCGTTGATATATCATAATACACTATAAAGAAATATTTGGAATCAATTAATGTGCTTAAAATGATCTGAACATAAATAATACTAATGCAGTAAGAAATTCTCATTTACCTTTGCAAGGTGCTATAATTTCCTCCTTTTTGTCCATGTGATCTTTATGACATTTAATATGGCAACGGCGACACTCTAAAGCAGGAGGGGGCTTAAACATGTGCCACAGCGGCTTCATACAAGCCTCACAGTTGGTTGGGAAATGATAAAGAGTAGGAATAAATTCATGCCCTTTGTGACAAATATAATTAGATTTTTCTCCCACTGGGTCCACGGGAAATTCTTGTTCCTTTTTACTTTCTCCTTCATTGGCATACAGAATCTATCAAAAGAACAATCATTTCTACACGTAAGTTTTTTTKTTTTTTTTWAAATGTAGAAACAACTCTGGTAGTGTAAATAAAATCAATTTAGCCTAAATTACTCTGTAAAAAGAAAATGCATTTGAAGTTCAAATCTAAGCAGGTTCTGCCTAAAGAAAAGCTATGTGAAAAGTCATTAGAGGGTCACTTAGCTTTGCATTTCAAAAGAAATAATTCTGTTCAAATGCTGTCTCATAGATTTTTCTAGAAATCTTATTATGCTTCAGCAACACTATCAGAATGGACCAGCAAAAGATAAATTTGAAATTCACAGGTCCAATCCTCAAAAGATTGTTCAAAATCATCACCTGGGAATTGGGAGTGTAATAGGTCATTGGTGGACCCAGGCATTCGGTTCAATCTCCAGGATACCTGCTCCCCCTCAAAAAACCACCAACAGATTCACAAAATAAACAAAACAACAACAACAAAAAAAAAACAAAAAACAAAAAACCAATCACCTGATAAGAACTGGGTAGAGGTTCTCAGCTCACTAGTAGAGTGCTTGCTTTGATCCCCAGCACATACACAAAGAACATATATGTTCTTCTTAAGAACAGAAAACAAAGTGATTCCCATATGTACAGCTTTTTAAAGAAAAAAAATTTTTAGAAGACTTTAAAATAAAAAAAAAGAAAGAAAAAAAATTTTTTTGTAGTTGTAAATGGACAAAATGCCTTTTATATTATTTATTTATTTTTATGTGGTGCTAAGGATTGAACCCAGTGCCTCACAGAGACTTGGCAAGTGCTCTGGTACTGAGCTACAGCCCCAGCCCTGTACACTTTTTAAAAAATGACATGTGCTTAGAGAGTTGAAGGAGGGAAAAAAAGAGAAAAGGATGTACAATACACTCCACATAAACAATGTAAGCACCCAGAAAACAAGAGGGCAACTCCCACAAGACACCAGGTAGTGTCTATACAGAGGGAACTCAATACTAAATTGCTGGGAATCATTTGGCTTCATGTTAAATAGGAAATAAAAGGGCCACTGGGTACAAAGTTTAACTTCATAAGTGCCTCCAGAGAGAGCTGATTATAAAACCCAAAACAGGAAAAAGTTCATGCTTTTAAAAAAAAAAAAAAAAATCACAACCAACCTGGGGAGAAACATGGTGTAAACACACTACACAGCTTTTAATAAGTAAAATTATCGAGAGAGAAATGGAGATGTCCCAAATAGAATAAGCACAAAAGAAAATAATTTTTAAATGGGACTGAAACAGAAAGGTCATCTGAAGGTATCCAGAGAAGAAWGGAATTTAATATGTTTTGTCATGTGGGAACCTCCAAGGGTGAAAAAACAAAACAGATTATGTTTACCTGGAATATCCTTGGAATTTCTTTAGCATCTGCTCTGTATACATCTGTCTGTGTAACTGGTCGGACATGAAATAACTTGCTGCAAAAGATTTTTCATAAAAGAATAAAATATTACCCAAGGATCAAATTCCAATAGTTACCCTAACTTATGTAAGAAATTAAACACTTTGACCCATGTTAGAAGCTCACAGAGTATCTTGTTCTATTAATCCTTAATATTTTCAGAAATTTCCAGTAAACCAAATTTTCTAATTTAGTTTCAGAAAACAATACATTACAGACCCATGAAATAAAGACGTTTCAGATAATCCTATCCTCCAGACTTTCCTGGGGAGAAGGAGACTGTAAGGAAAATAACATCAGGACAGAAGGAGCTAGCTGAGCTTTTCCATGACTAATAACAAACAGTATTACCCTGTGAGAAAAGGTCAGGCTGACGTTCTTACCACACTTTAAAAAGATATGAGGAGATAGTCTCTACCTATTCTAGTAAAAATACTTACTCTATATCTAAAACCATGTAAGGATTAGATTGTTCTTTATCTTGTTCGCTGTCATAGAAAAGAATCTTCTTACTGCTTACAATCACATACTGTTAGAAAGAGGGAGGGAAAGAAATCAATGAATAAAGTAGTTACACATTATATTTATTGATTTTTTGAAAATACATTCTGTTAGCAATAAGAATCACAAAAACCTAAGTACCTAAAAAGTGTTAATATAGCCTCAGGAAAGTCTTTCTTAAAATAACAATAAATTTGTAGCTATTTTAAATAAGCAAACAGGGGGATAAAGTCAATTACTTTTTGGACATAGCTTTGGGATCCAACAGTGTTAGTAACCTCATAAAAAAATGAACATAATGGGCTGGGGCTATAGAGCTCAGTTGGTAGAGAGGTTGCCTCGCCTGCACAAGGCCCTGGGTTCAATTCCCAGCACCATACACACACACACACACACACAAACAAAACAAAACAAAACAAAACAAAAAAACCCCACAATGACATCAAAATTACAGTAACAGAGGAAAAGAACTAAATGGATCTTTCTATCATATCCAGAGTTGTTTTGGATATGAAACAGCAAAAACACCAAAGTCAACAGGCTTATATTTTCCTAACTCCATAAAAAAACAGAAGAAAAAAATTTTTTTAAATATTTTTTTTTTTAGTTGTAGATGGACACAATATCTTTATTTGTTTATTTTTATGTGGTGCTGGGGATCGAACCCAGGGTCTCACACATGCAAGGTAAGTGCTYTACCACTGAGCTACAGCCCCAGCCAGAAAAAAATTTGACAGTGAGAAATAAAATCACATCATTCTAAATTGGAAAGTATAAACAAGTATTATGTGTCTAAAAGGTTTAGTCATGTACGTCTTACAACTATGAAAATGAAGTGGCTGGAGTTAAACCAGAAGGGGGGTGGGGGGTAGGRGAGACGAACCATATTCAAAAGTACTAATTACCTTTTTAACCCATCCAAATTTCTTAGTGTTGTTTCGAACAGGCAAGGAAAGCCATCCTTCTAACCTTGATTCTATAAATAAGCACAAGATTGTAAGGATAAATATGATAATTTTCTTCATATAATGAAGAATTTAGCATAATTTTAATATGGAAGCCACAAGACYAATCAAATAGTCCCTTCAGAATTTATCACTGTGCATTGTCTGGGACACAAATAATGCAGGATTGGTAGAAGCAAGTTATGCAATGCCAAACAAAATCCAGGCTATTCCACAGTGGTGCTGAGGCTTGAACTCAGGAGCTCACACTCGCTAGGCAAGCAAGTGCTTTACCACTAAGCCACATGCCCAGCCCCCAGGGTGTAGCACRATGGAAATAAATAGTCTGCAATTTTATGTAGTCAAATGTCCCACTGATTAAATTCATGCACTGGCAAAAATCTAAGAGACAAGACACAAAACAACAAACAAACCCCCCCAAAAACAAAATCACCAAAACTTAACAGCTCTTTATTCTCAYTGATAACATCTGCATTAGGATCTTTTATTTTTCTTTTGAAAGAAGGCCTAACTAAAAAWATAATATGCATCCTTGAGAAAACATTTTAAATGAGTAATGTTTTCAGAGAATATGGTCTTTCAAAATGGCTATAATAAAATGAAGTAAAATTGCAGCAGATGAAACTTCGTTAACAAACAACAATAAGGCGTGGTTGTGCAAGCCTGCAATCCCAGTGGCTCTGGAGCCTGAGGCCCTCAGTAACTCAGTGAGACTCTGCCTTTAAATAAGATATAAAAAGGGCTGGGGATGTGGCTCGGCGGTTAAGCATCMCTGGATTCAACGCCTTATACCAGAAACAAAAAAACAATATAATCAAAAGATTTCTAAACTCCAAAATAACAAAATGAGTAAAATTCTAGTTCCACAAAGAAAGTGTCTTAAGTCCTTGGAATTTTTTCTAGTACATTTGATCAATATCTCTTCTTTGGAAAGGGGGTACCAGAGATTGACTCAGGGGCACTCAACTACTGAGTCACATCCCCAACCCTATTTTGTATTTTATTTAGAGACAGGGTCTCACTGAGTTGCTTAGTGCCTTGCTGTTGCTGAGGCTGGCTTTGAACTTCTGATCTTACTGCCTTGGCCTCCCAAGCTGCTAGGATTACAGGTATGAGCCACCCACTCAGCTTGATCAGTATCTTTTATTGAAGTAAGTGAAATACTATTTTGGGAGGTTATTCTAACAATAGAAGTAACTGTCAATTATTTAACATCCATTATGTGTCAACTGTGTTAGAGGCTTAACTACAAGCCCCTCTAGGGCTAGGCTCAGTCAGATTTTTTCATGTCCTTTAAAGGCCCAGTGGAGTGGCCAATAGGTTTTAAGTGCTCAATGACAAACCTAAACACATTCTCTCCAATAGCCTACAGTTATTTTTGCTCTGTCACTCCTGACATGAAACTTCAGGAAGAATTTCTTAGTTAAAAATGGATGAAATAGGCAATAAAACCATGCACTCTTTTTTTTGGGTACCAGAGATTGAATCCAGTGGTGCTTAACCAGTGAGCCACATCCCTAGCCCTTTAGAGACAAGGTCTCGCTGAGTTGCTTCAGGACCTTGCTAAGTTGCTGAGATTGGTTTTTGAACTTGAGATCTTTAGGCTTCAGCCTCCTGAGCCACAGGGATTTACAGGCATGAACCACTATCCCTGGTACCATACACTCTTATGTAATATAATGTTCTTATAATTATGTCAGCACAATAAACGATCTATTAAAATAGCAATTCATTATAAAAATGCCTTAAAAATACTTTGTTCATGCAGCAGTTCATTATTAACTGAGTCTACAGTTAGTCAGAGTTAGTGAATATCAGTTAATATTATAAAAAAATTTCAAAGAGACTAAAATTAAGGGCAGTAGGGAAAACTCCAAAGACAAAGATTTTTAGGATATCACCTGTACCATTAGGTTCCGATGATATGGGTAAGTTAGGCAAAGAGTCTTCTTCTGAGTCAGAATCAGAGTCAAGGAGCATGTGAGAACTGGAAGGCTTAGTGGCAATATTGAGAGAAGTAGAGGAACGTTGGTAGGTGAATGACATGGATTCCATAGTATGTGACTGAGTGATATGAACTAAACACCCAACATATGAGAAGTAAGAATGCAGAAAGAAGAGAAAATAAAATGAAAGCTTTAAAAGAGAGCTACAATATAATGTATAACGAATTAAATATCTAAACATGTAGAGGTTTCTTTTGCATGTTTGCTTCTTTACGAAAAATATTGTAAAAAAAAAAAAAAAAAAATCAATAAAAGTCCAAAATGTTATTTGAACTACCACTCCGAGAAGTAGGTTCCCCCTTAACGACAGGATAAACATTTTTCCTCAAGAAGGAAGTTAGGCGCAGGATTTAAAACAATCAACCAATTTATAATTAAGACAAACTTAAGGGCTGAAAACAAATCTGTACCTGGAAATCCATCATCTGCCTCAGCCTCCCCTGGTCCACTGCCTATACTGGAACTATCCAGACCAATATGCAAGGCCTGCAGCTGTGATCGTAGCTGCTCAATGTCACTGTCTTTACTGTCCAGTGTCATCTGCAGTTCAATTCGAATTTGGCTCTCTTCAGCTATTTGCTGTAAGAAATTAAATTAACAAGGTGGAATACATCTCATATTTTCCATCTTGTTCAATAATAATTATTAATGATTTTTTAAAGGTTATTTGTCCTTTTTAGTTAACACATGACAGTAGAATGTATTTTCATACCACACGTACATAGAATAAACTTCCCATTTTTGTGGTTGTACATGATGTGGAGTTATACTTGTCATGTATACATGTAAGAACACAGGAAAGTGATGTCCAATTCATTCTACTGTCTTTCTTATTCTTATCTTAATAACTATTAATAGAAATGTTCTATAAGTAGTCAAACACACAGACATTAGAGTAATTCTATTTCTTAAAAAGAAATCTTCAATTTAGAGTCCAAATAGTATTCTTACAGCCTGCATTTCATTTAGTTCTTTCTGATACTTGATCATCTGTTGGGTCAACTTTTCACGTTCAGATTTAAGTTCCATATGTAGCTTTCTATTCTCCTTCTCTTTTCTTCGCACATCTGTGTCATTCCCACGCTTGACAGGTTCTTTTCGATTCATGATCTCAGCCAATTTATTCACAGCCTTAAAAATGTAAAAATAAGTATGCAAATGAAATAAATTACGTTGATCACTTCTTGGTAATTCACCAATTCCAGGTTAATATAACCATTAATAATGTCCTTCTTTAAGCACAGGATTACAAAGAAACACTTCTTACACTATTTGAACACTACACTTTCTTTATTACTCATTGTCCTTCTTTATCCTAACTCATACTTGGTTTTTACTATCATGGTTTCTGAGAACTGTAATTTAAAATATTTATAGGAGCCTGGAAGTGTGACTCAGAGGTAGAGCACTTGCCTAGATGCATTAGGTCCTAAGTTTGACCCTCAGCATCATAAAAGTCAATAAATAAATAATAATCATTTTGATTTCATGTCATTGTCTACCATTTCAACTTTTGTTCCAAGGAAGACTTTAATAGTAAGATTTTTTTTCTTCTATCTAGAGGAACAGAATTCAGCATTGGCATCACATTAGTAAAATATACTTTGCTCAACAACAGAGAAAAGAACCTACTACCTACACTCATTTGAGCTGTATACACAACCGGAGGAACTGGCAGAGGGGTGGTTAATGATCATAGGTTTCTTTTAAAAATTTTGTCAGGCTATTAGCAAACAGTCATGCCCTACAGTTTCCTAAAAGGCAGAACAACTTATTAGATTACAATAAAAGATTAGGAATAACTGTGATTCCATATTGGAAAATTAGGAAAAACTTTGACATTGAATTGGACAATGTTGGTGAAATCTAACTTCTCCCAATCTGAGAAAATTCAGGTCACTGTTCACAAATATTCATACATTCAATGACTGCCTCCAATCTGTAATGCTGGAAGTAAAAGATAAATGAAAATAAGATTCAAAATCATGTTTAAAGTCCATACTTGAGTCTTGAGTGTTCTCTCTGTTAATAGCTGTTTCTCAAACTGTGCCTTGATGGCTGCTGCACTTATCTCTTCATCTTTCAACCTTGATAGTTCTGAAACATGGGAAAATGTGAAAATTACACTAGTGACTACAGCAAGTGGTAGACATCAGATATATTAAACTATATTCTTTATAAGTACATACGCTCTTGAGCTTCTTTCAGTTTGTTATTTAATTCTTCTTTTTCATTCGCAAGATTGGCAACGTCACTAGTAAGTGTCCTATTAGTTTCTTCAAGCTAAGAAACAAAAGTGGGGGAAATAAAAAAAAAAACACCAATATACAAAATGTAAGTCATAAAACAGTAATTCAAATTGAAAACCCCAGAAAGTTGCTAAATCTCTTGCTTTTCTAAGCTTATCCATCTTTATATTCTTGCCCATRTGCTACCTTACTAAACTTTATTATTGATGAAAATTTTGTTAGCAAATTTTATATATACCACCCAAGGAAGCCAAAAATTTGCTGTTCTTTCACAAATCCTTAGCATTTTTTAAAATGAGAAAAACATTTAAAAAACTAAGAAAAGGAAATACAAACTCTGCATTCTCATCATGCAGAATAAATGAATATAAAAACTAATATTTTTTCAGAACATTACTTTGAATCAGAAGATGAAATAGTACTGAAGATGTTGATGGCCTTTTGTATTCCTTCCAAATTCTATTTCTATTCTTCCTTCCTGAAGAACATTTAGTGATTTTTAAGACACACAGTATTTATCTTTCTCCATTTTTGGGGGGGGGGGGGGGGGCGGGGGCGGGCGGGTACTGGGGATTGAACTCAGGGACACTCAACCCCTGAGCTCCATCCCCAGTTCTATTTTGTATTTTATTTAAAGACAGGGTCTCACTGAGTTGTTTAGCAACTTGCTTTTTGCTGAGGCTGGCTTTGAACTCGTGATTCTCCTGTCTTCAACCACCTGAGTCGCTGGGATTACAGGAGTGCGCCACCGGGCCCAGCTTTTGCCATTGTTTTTACTCAGCATCATATTAAAAAATTAAATGGCTAATAAAAAAATGTAATTCATTTTAACAGATACAGTAATTCYATCTACCACACTTAATATATCCATTCATTCAATTAATAAGAGATTTCAGTTTTGGCTATTTACTAACATTTATGCTGCTATAAGAATTGTGCTAAAGTTTCATTAGCATACTTATCTTAATGTGGACTTTCTCTGAATTGCATTCTATGTATGGTTAAAATTTGCCAACACTGCCATGCTATATACCTGACTGTACAATCACATACTGAATTTAAGTTCCCATAGCAGTGAAAGAGAATACTGTTTTCCAGACATCTTTCAAACTACTGCCATTKTGAGGTGCTGAATTTCTGTCATTTGATGGGTGTGAATTGGCATTTCAAAGCTGCTTTATCTAGCCCTTTCTAGGAGAGCAGGAAGCAAAGCATTTTCTTATATATGTAAGTTTTCCTTTTTGACCAAATTTTCTACTGCACTGTTTAACCTTTTCTTATTGAACTGCAGGAATTCTCTGTATATTCTAGGTACTACTGGTTCCTTGTTTAATAAATACATTACATGTATCTTGTCCCTGTCATTTATTTATGTTGTCTTTTGTCATATTTGTGAAATTTGGATTCATTTCTAATAGCTCAAAATTTTTATTTTTCATATTTAGATTATTAAGATAGCTAGAATTTACTTTTGTGTGTGAAATGGTAAGGTTCTAATTTTATTCCTTTCCACATAAAAATATAGTTATTCTACAACCATTTATTAAATTTGTGTCCTTTCCTACTGGTTTGTATATTGCTATTTCCATCATATACAAGTTCCTTTATAGATCATAAAATTTCCTCTAGCATCACTATTCATTTCTAGCAGGACTGGACAGACCTGTTCTAATGTCACACTTTGCAATTTACTGTATCATTTTGACATGCCTGCATAATTGATAGGGGAAACCCAACTACTTGATATTTTACTTTTCTTGGAAATTTTCTTTAGCTAGATTCTGTGTGAAACAAGGGGAGAAGTAAGCGATTAACTGAACTAAAAATCTTAACAGCTAGAACATAACAATTTTTCATGTACGTCTGTAATATTGTACTAGTGCTACTAAGTAATTATGACATTAGCAATTTACTTATTATAAAACCCCAAGAATTTTACTTACAGATGCAATTGTAGCATCTTTTTCAGTAAGCTCCTGTTTGTGTCTAGCCATCATCTCTTTGATCTCCAGTTCTTTCATGATTTTCTCTTTCTCCAAATCTGAATACTGTTCTTCAGCAATTGAACGAGCCAGCTGCTCAGAATCTGCTTTGGTCAAGGTGATCTCCAGCTGGGCAGCCAAGGAATCCCTATAATTTAGGAATATATCATTAAAAAATTCAGGGGGTAGTGCTAGGGATTGAACCCACAGTTTTTGTGCATGTTAATCATACCTCCACCCCTCTTAAAGATATGTCATTTTAGTGTTCAATTTTCACTTTAGAAGTCCATATTTTTTGTCTCACTTCATCAACACAATTTTACGTGGTGAATACAGAGCACTGTTCTAGCAGCAATACATGTATCTATGAACAAGGGACAAAAGTCTTGTCCTTACCTTTCATCCTGTAATTCCTGTTTCTTCTGCTGTAATTCTTTACAAAGTTTGGTCTTTTCTTCACATTCTTCTTTAAGTTCCCTAACTTGTGTTTTATACAGGGTCTAAGAAGCAAAACACAAAGAAATGTGTATCATGATCATCAGAAATATTATGTCTACATCTAACACCTACCCAGAGAAATCACTGACCACRTACAAATATTTTCTTAATGTTGAGTAATGTTGTGCTCCTAAGAAAATTAATAGTTTAATACGTYTTCCTATTTTCTAGTTATCAACTGATATGATAAAGTTCACTTGGGGCTGGAAGCGTAGCTCTGGTAGAGCACATTTGACATGCATTAGACCCCAGGTTCAGTACCCATCACCWTCCCCCCAAAAGTCAGTTAATAATTTAAAAGCATGATTTCCAACTGAATAATATAGTGATATTTCTTACTGAATGGTATAGATTGGTAGGATGAAAAAGCAAGGAAAAATATTACTAATATGTAAACATAAATTTTGTTGATTTAAATCAATGGAGCAGGGGTGATAATTGTCATTTCATATTTTAAAACTGATCTCAAAAAAGTACAAATGTCTCAGAGGCTGGGGAGGCTGAGGCAGGAGGATCAAAGCCTGCCTCAACAACTTATTGAGGCCCTAAGYAACTCAGCAAGACCCTGTCTCTAATTAAAATATAAAAAGAACTGTGGATGTTGCTCAGTGATTAAACACCTCTGAGTTCAATACCCAGAATAATTTTTTTAAAAAGTTCAAATGTTAAAATGACAATTTTACAATAAAAGTGTATTATTCAAAAAGCAATGCCTTTAATCAGTTTTATAGGTGTTGTATAGCATGTGCTTAGAATTAGTTTTCTAGCAATGACAACAGAGTTCTGTTAAATTATCTACATTTCTTTTTACTCAGTATTTTTAATGAGTTATGGGATATTACACATCCCATCTAAAAATCTAATTTTGGGCTGGGGATGTGGCTCAAGCGGTAGTGCGCTCGCCTGGCATGCCTGCGGCCCGGGTTCGATCCTCAGCACCACATACAAAACAAAGATGTTGTGTCCGCCAAAAACTAAAAAATAAATATTAAAATTCTTAAAAAAAAAATCTAATTTAAATCTAGTTTATACAAAATCATTCTCCTGGTTCTAAAACAAGAAATAAAAAAGTTCTACAAATACAGCAACTTCAAATTAATGTATCTGGAACTTACTGAGAAATACTGTTCAGCTTCAAGTTGATCTTGGAGCTCTTTCATCTGCCCATCGGCATCCTGACGTTCTCTGTGAAGACATCAAAACAAAGGCTTAAATAAGTAATACACATTTTAAATCATTTACTCTGAAATTATGGTGTAGGAAACCCCTGAAGCCCTTTCAGAGAATCCATGAAATCAAATCATTTTCATGAACGGTTGCTATTCCTTTCCCTGAGAGGAGATGAAATTTGATGATGTCATCAATATACCAGCTAAATGAAATGTATGCTTGTATTTTAAACTGTCATTTGGGGGACGGGGTGTAATTTGGGATTGAATCCAGGGATGCTTAACCACCGACCCACATACCAGGCAATTTTTTTTTTTTCATTTTTTGCTTTGAAACAGGGTCTTGTCTTGCCAAGTTGCTGAGGCTGGCTTTGAACTTGCAATCCTCCTGCCTCAGCCCCCAAAGCTGCTAAAATTACAGATGTGTACCACTGTGGCCAGCCAATTGTTGTCAGTTTTAATGAACACATATGTGAGCTGTGATCTGCCACTTATGTCAAGCAACTATGATTCATAGTATCAGAAAACTAGGTTTCTCAGGGTGAGTAAAGAATGCCCAGGAGGATGAAAATCCTGTTTTTAGATCTAAATCAGGAAAATGACACTTTTACAAATATACTGAGATTTACCTTTATGAATCGTATACTTTCTCTACCACTGTACCTTGATTAGGTGGCAGTAGTATAAAAATTGGTGTACAAACATATAATCTTCTCAAAAGACAACAGTAGCACTCAACATAATACTTGTATAAAAATAAAGAGAAAATGTGATCAAGAAAGTAGAATAGTCAAAAGAAAATCCCCAGATAAACTAAAATTAATATGATTTACATGTGCATAATTATGCRTATTAAAACTTTGTCTCAATTAACTTACTTTCGAAGTTCCGCATTTTGTTTTTCCAAGCTCATTTTCATTTCCATGAGATGATTATTCTCTTGTTTTAACTGCTTTTCTGACATTTTTAGTGTGTTAACTTGCTGCGTTTGCATCTTCAGGTCATTTTGTGTAAGACAGCGCTTCTGAGTTTCCTGCTCTATTTTTAATGTCAAGTTTCTAACCTAAAAAAATAGATTGAATACTTGGTATATAAGTAAATTGTTTTGATTTTTCTTATCAATGAAGTTGGCAGCAAATAYGGTGATGAAAAATAGATTTCTGCCCTCAGGTAGCCCATTCATTTCACAGTAAAATATTTCTAAGAAATTTATACATATGTCTTTAATTCCAGTAATGTGGGAGACTGAGACAGGAGGATCACAAGTTTATGACTAGCCTCAGCAAGGCTCTAATCAACTTAGTGAGACCCTGTCTCAAAATAGAAAATTAAAAGGGCTGGGGATGTCTCTCTGTGATAAAACACCCCAAGGTTCAGCTGAACCTAGTATCAAAACAAACAAAAATCAAACCGAAACAAAAAACAAGACCCTCACAGTTTAGAAGTAAAAATAGCTTAAAATTATTAAATTATGATTCATTTATTATGTTATCAAAATCTAATAAAAGCAACAAGTGTATTATACAGAATATTTTATATATGTATCCTACAGATTGCATAAAACATTTCAAGAAAAATTTATGGGTTTTTTTTGTTGTTATTGTTTGTTTTGGTACTAGGGATTGAACCCAGGGGTATTTTAATACTGAACTATATCTCCAGCTCTTACAGTTTGTTATTTTGAGACAGGGCTAAGATGCTGAGGCTGGCCTCATACCTTGCCATCCTTCTGCCTCAACCTCCCAATTTGCTGGGATTACAGGTATGAGCAACCATACCCAGCAATAGGGAAATTTTAAAATTATAAAATATTAAGAACTCACCATTAGACCTTTACAAATAAACCTAGTTTATTATTGATTCATTAACTAGCTTATTATTCATTTTAGTAAAATTCATACTTACATCCTCATTTAGCACATCTTTCTGTTTAAGGAGCTCATTTAGTTTCTGCTGTGATTGTTTGAGGTCACAATCCAATAAAGAGCATCTTTTCTCAGCCTCCAGCAATAGGTTCTCTACTTTCTGTTTTAAAGTCCTTTCTTCCAAAAGCTTCTTCTCCATTTCTATTACAGTGAGAATGGACAGGATCATGAATTTACAAATAAAAGAGTGTATCAAAGATATGATACAGTGCCAATAAAAATGAATTAAGTAAATGATGCTACTTCATTATTATATTTTTATTCGTTTCTAGAATATTTTTATCACTCCTCTCAATACATTTGAAATAGCAAGAATTTTATGCTTGAAAATAAAGAGTTTTATTTGCAGGGTGTAAAATATATCACAGTTCGTAATATTACACCAATTCTCACAGAAACAAAATATTTTCATTTTGTAATTCTATAAAATGCTTATGTCTTTAAATAAATACTTTTTTACTACTTTCTGCTAGTATGTCTCTCAGTGTTACTAGTTTTACTTTGAAACACTCCAGGGTAGATTCTATTTATCATGCAAGTTAMCCTCTCTGGGACTCAGGTTTCTTATCTCTAGGAAAAGAACAGTATCTACTTTCCTAGTGAGATAATACATGTGTAGCACTCGTTAATATTCATCATTTTTTTTTTACAGTAAAAGTGTAGAAAATACACAAAATATTATCATGAATAGTAGGATTATGGGTCATCTTTTGCATTTTTCTTTATACATTCTTTTATTTTTGTAAATGATTAGCTGTAAGCTCCTAATTTGTTTCATAAATTTAAAAAAAGCTTTTAAAGTTCTTTAATCTTCAAGTGAAAAGCAAAGTTTATACCTAAAAAAGTGATTTCAATATGAATTGCAAGTCATTAAAGGATCACCTTTTGATGTACTGATTAGAATTTTAGTTCAAATTCAGTTAAGGTTCCTCCACTCCTTCATACCTATAATTATCATCTAAAGTTTTATTAGTTTAAAATTAAACCTATGAATTTTCAGTTAATGAACAGTATTTGGAAGTGAGGAAAAATGAAAATTCTTCATGTATCATTAATAATACATGTAACTACACTTGATTTTCACAGTAATCTAACAACATCATTACTGTTCCTTTACAGAAAACAAAGCATACAAAGTTTAACTAGACAAGGTCGTGCTGCTAATAATTATTTGGTTAGTATGTTCTTAATCCAAGAAGGCAATGACATGCAGCAAAAAGACCAAATGCTTCAGACCCCATCTAATTTTTGTATACTCATGCGTAACATACAGAAGTCATCAAGTATCTTCTATTAGTGTTGGAACAGTTTGAAAAATGGTACTTATATTACACTGGATTGGTTCACTTTCATCAGTTCAGAGTGTAACCAATAAATCAATGTACTCATTTTAGAAAAACAATCACATAATGTGGGCACAGAATAGAAAGACAAAAAGGAATATACTGAGGTGACAAATATTCTATATCTTCTGTTGGATGATAATTACATAAATACATATTTTATTGTGCATAAATTACACTGTAATAAAAAAATTCGATTCTCTTTACTAAGCCATGGACAAGGAAACATTGTTCATTAATTTCCTTCTAATTAGATACTTCTAAATAAAGCACTCATTTTATTTCTTATGATCCTGAATTAATGCTTTAAACAAAAACTTAATCTACAATTCAGTTACATGTAAAAATTAAAAGACTATTTTTTGCTAAGTTGTTAAATATGAAATGCAATTTCTGTTGAGTTTTAAGCCTTTCACAAGAAAAAAGAACTTTTTTAAAAAATCCATTATAATTATAAATGGTCAGCTGGGAAACCTAAATTACCCTAAAAATTACCCTAATTCCAAGATAAAAATTGGTTTGCAGGAAAGTTAACTCTGATATCTATTAGTATCAAATAGCTCAGAGCAATTTCAGGTAACATCTTCATCATACCYGGGTCCACAATACTCATTAACTTATATGCTAGTTAGACCAGTGTCATTTTCAAATCTTTTTTGGGGGGAAGATGTTGCAGGAAAACTTTTAAATGTGCATACCTTTCATGGCTTCTGATTTAGCTTCTTCGATGGATTCATAGATCTTATTTTTATCTGCTAGCCGTGCTTTTGTAGTCTTGTGTTCAGCCTCTTCTTGTTCCAAGCTCTGTTGCATAACTTTTAGTTGGTATGTCATATCTATTTCCATGTTGCTCTTTTCCTATTAAAAATTTAAACGAACAGCTATAAACAAAACAAAAAAAAAAGGCTCACAATTCTAAAAACTTTCAAAACTGAATCAGGCTTAACAAAAATGCTGAGCATCTTCCCTCCCCTCTTCATCAAAACTTTTGCTCCCTCTACTCCTTCACTCCCTCTGCCACACCTCCCCTCTACTGCTTGGAGATCTGCATTAAGACTGTTGAATATCAAAGTGACCAGCACTATTCTCAATACCAAATTCAAGACACTTCTCTTATTTGAACTCATTGCAGCCCTGACGCTGTCCCTTGGCACTGGTGATGCTGTGTTCACCTGGCTCCCATCAGGCTCTTGTCTTTCCTGCAGTTCCTCCAGCTGCCCTCAGCTGCTGGTGTTCTTCAGCCACAATGCTTCTTGTCCTACAGCATTATTTCTGCAACTTTTAAAAACATATCTAATGTTTCCCTCTTCTATATTAAAAGGAGAAAAAAGGGAAAAACCCTTAAGATCTTCTACCATACATTTATAATCCCCACAGAGAAGTCTATTTTAACTTGAGAATTTTGATAACAGCAGTCTATTTCCTATATATACTGTCAAAGGTTTCTGATTCTTTGAGCTCTATTGTTCATATCACAAATATGATGCAGGTAGTTTTTTTTAAATAAAATCTTTAATACTAAAATGACTTTTCCAACTACATAATCTATCAACAGAATAATCTACTCTGCTCTGAATAATCACAACTCTACCCAGTCTTTTCCCAGGTGCTCTCTTTCCCTCATGTGGTTTCAGCTACTTACATATACCAACGACTCAAATATTCCTAGCTTTTACCAGAGTTTACTGCCTTGTAGACATTCTAAGGTGGTATCTCCAAAGAACTTATGAGGACTAAAATGGATTTATCATTATCTCCTCTGCATGTGATTTTCCTTTATTCTTYATTGATTAATGACATCACTAAATAACATGTCAGGACTCATCCTTAACTACTATTCTCATACCACATCTCATCAATTACTAAGTGCTGTCAAATATTCCTTTCTCAAATTTTTGAGACATKTCTATTTTTTAAGCCATTGCCCTAATTAAGTCTCTATTATCCCTTATCTGAATTAGTGAAAAAGGCTTCTKACTAGCCTCCTGGCCTCTAGTCTTATCCTTCTCAAATCTATTCTCTGCATAGTACACTTAACTAATGATCTACTTTACCCGTAACTCTAGTAAGATCATACAATGTTATGTCGTTGTGTGGCTAACCCTTAAGAGTTTCTMTTCTAAGTTTCGTTTCTTTTTTTTTTTTTAAGTTGTAGTCAGACACAACACCTTTATTTTATTTATTTATTTTTATGTGCCAAAGATCTAACCCAACGCCTCACATATACGAGGTGAGCACTTTACTACTGAGCCACAGCCCCAACCCCTTCTAAATTTCTTAATAGAGTTTTTAATATYTTACCTAATCTAGCTTATGCCTAGCCCTGTACCCTCACTCTGGCCTCTGAATTCCCCATACTCTTACATGAGGAGCATACTAGTGACCTTTAGATCAATTTTGGCTTGATGTTTATTTTTCYTTTTAAATTTCACTGGCACACAGCCACATCCTTTACTCTAGAAACTGTAGCAGGGTTGACCAGTTGCAACAGAAAGTATATGGTCTACAAAACCCAAAATATTTACCATTTCCCCCCTTAAAATGTTAAAATTTGCTGATCCCTACTTTGTTCTCCATAAATACTGAATAATCTGTACTTAAATAAACAAAGGGTGCCTTGTTAATTTTCCTCCCTGCCTCTGTTCACAGTATCTTCTCCAATCAGTGTACCTTTACCTTGCCAACCTGTCTGATCTTCTCAGACTGAAGACTCAGCCTATTCCCTCAATACACATCCCTGCCATATCACTATCATTCGGCAGACCACCTTGTCTACAGAACCACATTGAAATGGAAGTAAGCATATGAAAATATTCCAGTTAGTGATTTCCCTTACTTTCAAATAACTCTTCTCAAACTCTGCTGTGATTTTCTTACACAAAAAGATGCTTAGCATATCTTACCTTCTCCAAATCAGTAAATTTCTCCTGCAGTTGTCTCTTTTCCAGCTCTATTTTTGCTAGTAAGATTTTGCCACTCTTTAAATCTTCTTCTAGACCAGATATTCTACCTAAAAATTGCAACATTTTAAAAAACAACATACCTAGAAAGTTATACACATTCAATTAAGAGTAAAAAATTTGGAACCTGCTGCATTTTTTAAAAAATCATTTTTAATTATAGATGGACACAATACCTTTATTTCATTTATTTTTATGTGATACTGAGTATTGAACCCAGTGCCTCACACATGGAGGTGAGTGCTTTACCACTGAGCTACAACCCCAGCCCCACTGCTTCATATTTTGAAGCTGTTTTTGTGAGCAAGAGTTTTATACTTGCTGGCATAGTGCTTTACAGTTATCCTACAACCAGAATTTACCACCTAAGGAATTCAACACTTATAATATTTGAAAGTATATGAAAAAGTTCATAAATTAAATGAAATAATTTATAAATAAACTCAAAATTTATAAGTTTTTTATCAACATTTTTCTATAACAAAGTGCTTCCTTCAGAAATGTGCTACTCTAGAACATTATCCATCATTTCAAGTTATTTCCAAAATACAAATCATTAAGAGTAATTCAAGTACAATCTATATACCTTGTAAATCATTAATTATCTCAGATCCATGGGTTCGGTCCCTTCTTTCAGATTCTAGAGCTGACTGAAGATTGATAAATTCTTTTTCAAGTTTTAACTTAGCAGTTTCCAGCAGGCAGTTTTTATCTTGTAGATCTCTGTTGTTGGACTCTAGCTGCTGAATCTGTTTGGAACTTTCTGCCTGGGTTTTTCTTAATCGAGCCGCAGTATCAGATTCTGTTCGCAGCAAAGCATTGGTTTCATCCAGCTGTTATTTCATTCAAAAACAAAAAAACAGAGGTATAAGATGAAAATACATTCATTTACTAAAAATGTTAAAGGATTTCCTTCTAAAATTAGAGGCACAGGCCTTTTGAAACACTGCCAATTAAAATTAATATTAACAGGGGCTGAGGATGTGGCTCAGGTGGTAGCGCGCTCGCCTGCCATGCRTGCAGCCCTGGTTCGATCCTCAGCACCACATACAGACAAAGATGCTGTGTCTGCCAAATACTGAAAAAAATAAATATTAGAAGTTCGCTCTCTCTCCCTCTTTCTCACTCTCTCTCACTCTTTCTTTAAAAAAAAAAATTAATATTAACAGTCAGTCATAAATAAAACTCAAATCTCTTTTTACAAACAGAGATCAACTTACCTGTCTCTGAAGTTGATTCACTTTCTCGGTAGATATTTGAGAGTTCTGATTTCTTTTTTTCAAATCTTCAAGTTGATCTTTTAAGCTGTTAACTATATAACAAAAGGCATTTCAGTAGCAAGCTACAATAACATTCTCTCTCTCTCTCTCTCTCTCTC